CCGTTTCGGGTGGTAAAGTCGAATTTGGTGGCAGAACAGTCAAATTTAGTTTTAGTAGCAGCAGTGCTTCAAGTGGCAGTGATGGTCTCATGAGCAGGTGGTAGAGTCAAATTTGGTGGCAGAACAGCAGCAGTTCGGCCCCGTTTCGGGTGGTAAAGTCGAATTTGGTGGCAGAACAGTCAAATTTAGTTTTAGTAGCAGCAGTGCTTCAAGTGGCAGTGATGGTCTCATGAGCAGGTGGTAGAGTCAAATTTGGTGGCAGAACAGCAGCAGTTCGGCCCCGTTTCGGGTGGTAAAGTCGAATTTGGTGGCAGAACAGTCAAATTTAGTTTTAGTAGCAGCAGTGCTTCAAGTGGCAGTGATGGTCTCATGAGCAGGTGGTAGAGTCAAATTTGGTGGCAGAACAGCAGCAGTTCGGCCCCAAGTCAAATGTTAAGTAACAAGACGAGTCTGCATTTCGGACTCGTCTTGATTGTTGTGGCAAAAACAAGACGAGTCCGAGATGCAGACTCTAGGCTTTACTTATCCATATGCCGGATGGCTGAAGGCATTCACTCGGAGCAGGAACTTTGTATGGGGTCGCGCTGAAGATGTGCAATTAGCAGGACAAGAGTGGCGGATGCGCTCGATGATCAGTCATCTTTTGCACGATGCTCAGAATTCAAATTTCAAACTCAAATTCAAAAATCAAAGAATTTCTGTTTTTATCCTCTTTTGCAAATATTCATTTTCAGACAAGTACAAACACATCTTTGCTATTGTTTTTTATATCAAGCTTACACTCTCTCTTCTCGAGAAAAAAATGCAGAGATTCATCAAATTTCTGATTTTATTGCATTTCTGATAAATTTATAGCCAGGAACTCGAATTCACAACTGAGAGCTTTACAGATCAAAAATTATGATATTGCCTTGGATGAGATTTTTATATCAAGCTTACGCTTTCTCTTCTCGAGAAAAAAATGCAGAGATTTTTGCTCTGAATTCATCAAATTTCTGATTTTATTGCATTGCTCATAAATTTAAAGCCAGGAGCTCGAATTCACAGCTGAGAGCTTTAGATTAAAAAATATGATATTGCCTTGGATGAGAAAAACTATCAAGCTAATCCCTTAGCTAAAATGGAAATTTGAAGTGGTCCTTATATATGGCCCACAGCTCAGCTCTTGTTTTCCTTGAGCACGTGTCCGTTGCATGTAGGTCTGCATCGACTTCAGTTCACAGCCCATACTGCTCGGCATGAGGAGTGCTGATTTATTCAGAAGACGTGTCCGTTGCATGTAGGTCTCCATCGACTTCAGTTCACAGCCTATATTGCTCGGCATGAGGAGTGCTGATTTATTCAGTCGAAACATGTGAGTATGTAATAGTACTAGACCAGCAGCAGCCATCGTCACAGCGCGATGGATCGGATTACCTCGTAACCGTGGCTATTTACTCGCATTTTGTCTCTATCTACTCTAAGAATCGAGTCCACGTTTTACCCGTCTTGAACTTGTACGTGTTACCTCCTGCAGCAATCGCGTGGGCACATGGAAAAGCCTTCGTCTGCGACACTCTAGTTGATACCCTGGGGACTGGGCCACTTGTACAATCTCTTTGTCTTTGCAGCGCCAGCGCGACTACACCATCTGGCAGCACACCAGCATCAAGGTCTCCTGTGACGATATGGCAACTACGGTTTACAGAATCTGACATGGAATTAGCACTAGCGAGAGTGGCAGCGTCGGCGGACTGGGGAGACGTAGGAGCTCTTTTCCTAGGGTATCTGTCCTGCTACATCATTACCGCGATTGCCTTTGCGCCGTTCATCGTCATTTCGCTCTACGCATATGGCAACAGCTCTGCTATACTCATAATTCGTAAGCCCACGACTGCTTAATTGACCTCTGCCGTATGCGGGTGTCAAAATAATAGTTTACAACGCCAGCACGAGGTGAGGGTCATCGCAAATTTGATTTTGTAGCTAGTTTTTCAGCGGCTGACCTTGCGACACCCGCCAGCACGAGGTGAGGGTCATCGCAAATTTGATTTTGTAGCTAGTTTTTCAGCGGCTGACCTTGCGACACCCGCGTATTTGCGGGTGTCTAAATTATGACATGGGTGTCAGCGGGTGTCTAAATTATGACATGGGTGTCACCCGCGTATTTGCGGGTGTCTAAATTATGACATGGGTGTCAGCGGGTGTCTAAATTATGACATGGGTGTCAAAGTACTGATTTATAACCCCGTAACAGAGGGAGGCTATCGATGCGGGTGTCAAAGTAATAACTTACACCTCTGCCGTATGCTGCTGCTGCAGCAATGATTTGCAACCTCAGTAATGAAGGAGGCCTATCTCAAATTTGAGTTTTTAGCAGCTTTTTTTCTGCCTGACCTCCGCAGTATACCGGTGTCAAAGCGATGATTTGCAACCTCAGTAATGAAGGGGGGCTATCTCAAATTTGGGTTTTTAGCAGCTTTTTTTCTGCCTGGCCTTCGCAGTATGCCGGTGTCAAAGTGATAATTTACAACCCCGACCACCGCCAATTTGCTTTTTTAGCTGGCTTTTTCCTGCGTAACCTCTGCCGTAGGTATGTGTGGCTGCTACAGTGATAATTTGTAACCCCAGTAACAGAGGGAGCGGGAGGCCATCTCCAATTTCCTTTTTTGGCGGGTTTTTTTCTGCGTGACCTCTGCCGTTTGCAGCTGCTACAGAAATAATTTGCAGCCTCAGTAATAGACGGGGGCTATCGCAAATTTGGCTTGTTAGCTCTTTTTTTCTGCCTGACCTTGCAGTATGCCGGTGTCAAAGTGATAATTTAAATAATTGCAGTAGCAAGGGCAAGGCGAAGGCGCCGGTGTCAAAGTGATAATTTATAGATAATTGCAGTAGCAAGGGCAAGGCGAAGGCGAAGGCGTCGCTTTAGAAGGATTCTTTCTTGCTCCATCTGGTGGCCCTCTCCCTCATCGATCCCTTCGTAGTGCAAGAACTTTTCAGGCGTTATGCCTCTGTATCTAATTATCATGTTAGCCCGTGTTCATTCTTCCGTCCGTCTGGTTCGTTTGCGACGGAGAGCCAGAACTTTGGCTCGCACGTGGAATGCAGCACGAGCTGCGCTGGATGAAGAGCTTGCAAAGATCGATAGCCTGAATCTTCCAAAAGGGGATGAGGCAAAAATTCGTGCATATGAAAAAAGTGGAGATCGTGTCGCTGTGGTTATCGCTCAGGCGTCAGCAGAACGAAACTGCATTGGAGAAAACTACACAGGGGGTGATCGTGATGAGTCGTCATCAACGCGAGATCGAAGGTGCTCTTCTCGGTGCACTATGAGGCGACCAGCACGAGAGCAGGTGGACAAAGAAGAAGGACAACAACGGCCTAAAAGATGTGATGCAGTCGGACACACATCGTCATCAACCACCACGACTAAGAAAGGTTGTTGTAGCCCTCCTGCTCAGGTGCTGAATCAGGAAGAAATAAGTCACGACCCACCAATTGTGTCTTCTAAGGACAAGAACGCCATGGCATCGAAGAAGACTAAAGTTCATCGTTGCGTTTTACTGGAAGACTCTGAGGATGAAGTTAAGGACGTCGAAAGACGATAGAAAAAATGAGCTTCTTGTTGGTCGTACTAGAGAAAGTCAACATATTAGTGATAACAATTCTTCGAAGGCTTCGTAGTGGTATTCTGTGGCGGTATTTCGACCTGTCACTCTACTCTGCTGTTCATGTTGTTGACCACGACGACATCAATGCTAAATGCACGAGATGAATCATGTGTTCAATTATTCCATCAGTGCTTATCGTTATCCTCATTTTTCGGTTAGAAGAATTTTTCTTGAACTTGAAGAATGATTCTTCTAATGTTGGAGCATGTAGAACTTCAAAAGTAGTAGAGCAGGAGAAGGGAGGCGAGCAAGGTCTTGGAGAGGCTCCAAGAACGAGTGAGCACCAAGAGGAGACAAGCAAGAAGAAGATGAAGATTACTGCTGAGCATACCTCCCGTTTACTTGCCGTTGCTTCATCTGAGAGTACTCGTTTGCTGGAAGATGCTGAACATGGTGCTTCTCGTAGCGGTGGAGGTGGTGCTGGAAAGACAGACACGACTTCTAGACGAGGGCAGGAAAGCACTCTCACAACCTTCTTACACAAAGTAGTCGGCTCATGTCCGAAAATTCGAAGTTATGCTGCCGCTGTATGTGGTTTTGTAACTACAGAACTACCCTCCTGATTATCTTGTTCTCGTGATCTAATTTCCAGAGATACAACTACTCTACCACGACGTGATAAATATTATGGTACTGGTAGAATGATCATGTTGTCTCAATTTTATACTTATAGTATACTTACTTACTTACTTACTTACTCATTTCGCTAAAAAATATTTCCAGGAGGTACTACCACGACCGTGGTGCATATCCGTGACTATTCTTCAGCCGTGGGTGAAGTGTATCGATTGATCGGAATAGACACTCTGGAGATGGATCGGATTAGGGAAAAAGCCCGCGAAAAAGGGATCCGTGGCTCGAATGGAGGAACTCTCATGTGGCTACGGGAAGGAGAAGGTACTATGATTATTAGCGAGGCTAGTTAGTAAAGTTGATGAAAAACCTACAATCTAACTCACGCTCCATTATTTGTGGCTATTTGTTCAAGATGTTGTAGTAGAAGGAGTCCTCTCGGCAAGAACTTCATCATTTGATTTCAAGATGTAGCCCTCTCGACAAGAACTTCAACTCGACAACTTTATATGGCAACCTTAAAACGTTATTTTAGCAAAACGTTAAAAGTTGATTTTTTGAAATAGCCGACTAGGTTCCTAAGAAGTCAATTTTTAACGTTTTGCTAAAATAACGTTTTAAGACTGCCATACTTTAACTACAGATGATATACCAGTTGCTATCTTATCCGATGCAGAATTGGAGATGGCTTTAGCAAGTTGTGCAAAAGCGAAGGAGACTCCGAGATTCTGGTTTCAAAGGAAGAAAAATGAATGAGAAGCCTGAAGAAAGTTCTAGTATCCTCAATATATAAAGTCAAAGGAAGAAAAATGAATGAGAAGCCTGACGACCACGACCATCATGTCTCCGTCACGAGGGGGAAAATAGATGAATATGTTGGCAGATGACTTGTTAAAACAGGACCTGGGCCGCCAGGTCAAGAACAAGATGGGGCACTTCGTCTAACTATAATATGCTGTATGTACATTTCAACTTCGTCCTATGATTAGCTCTGATTCTCCTGTGCTGCTGTTCTCTGAAGATCACGTTCACGATCTGAGCAACTCTGATTCTGTGCTGTCCTCTGAGCAAGTTGGATGATCAAGAAAAGCCCCGCCTGTTCCAGTCCTAGTACAACTGGAAAAGATCAAGAAAAGATCCACTTGTTCCAGTCCTAGTACAACTGGAAAAGATCAAGAAAAGATCCACTTGTTCCAGTCCTAGTACAACTGGAAAAGATGAAGAAAAGATCCACTTGTTCCGTCCATCAAGAAGTACAGCAAGGAGATCTAATAGTCAGAAGATCACCCTCACTCTCCGTACTAACTTAATGTTATAGTGATATAATTTTCGAGATTTTTTATCGGGAATAAAGAACGACAACCTACGTACTTCAAAAATCTTCTTCACGACTTCTACCTCACAGCGCTCATCACAAGGAAGTAAAAAAAAGGGTTTAGGTGTAGGGTTATTCTCATCAACAACAAGTTTTTTTTTCTGAAAGAAGCAAACATAACCTCCTTAATAATATCATAGGTATTTTTGATATACGAACAGAAACAAAAGAGGCAAGATGATGCCGTCGCGTCTTTTTCAGAAAGCGAAGCTCTTTGTCGGTCCTCACCGAGCTGCTGGCGTTGGGACGCTTGGTCGCGGTTGCGTGATCTTCTTGCTTGCCAACATGATCAGTGGGGTTAACTCTTATCGCCCCCGCGCCTTGCAGCAAGGACTATCTTCCGCGGCCTTTGTAGACGGGACTATAAACGAAATCCTTGAAAGAAAGGAGAACTTCTTCGGGTGGAACACGACATTTGTGTACTTGGATCTTCGGGATGGTGCAAGTGCAGGAGCGCCTGGAAGTGCAGGATCTGGAAGCTCTGCGCCACAACCTGAAGCAGCCGTTTCAGCGCCACAACCTGAAGCAGCCGCTTCAGTTTCTATGGAGGATACAACTGGAAGCCGTCCAGTTTCTATGGACAGACCAACGCCAACTTCTATCCCTATGAAGATCCTCGACATGTTGCTGCGAGTATTGCAACGGGAAGCAACCCAATCGGAATCGGAGAAACGCAAGTGGAGCAACGTAGTTTTTCTTGTCGGAGGCGAGCACTCAATTTCAGTCAAGAAGTACAGAAATGAGGATTGGAGTCCGAGAGCTTTTAGTCTCCACTATGTCGACCGCCCAGGCCAGGACGGGTCCTGGGAATATGTTTCGCATATTGGGGCTGGGCCTGCAGAATTTTTTTCTTACTATGGCAAGGTTCGCGACAGCCGATATGGGGCCTTTTACCTACCAAAAAATGGGCCGGGGTCGAGGCAGCTATCTTCGTCCGAAATTAAAGATATTGCAATGAGAGTAAGCGATGTCATCGTCAAGGTCGGTCCGACCGTTGACGGACCTCAGGTGGTTGCCCATGTCGCGCTTCCTCGGGATCCTCAAGAGCAGGGTGGAGGGGCCACTACAGAATCCGCGGCATTTCAGATTTCGGAAGGTTTAGAAGCTATGCAAAAAGAGGTTACGGACGGGGTAGCGCCGAAGCTACAGACGATGATATTGAACGCGCAAGAGACGACTGAAAGGCGAAAGGGTCACTTGTTGAGGCGGCCATGGGCTTGGCTTAATAAACGTAGGAATAGTCAGAAAAAGGACGATACCTCTTCCCCGATGATCGAATTGACCCCCATGATCTCGTCGTGAAAATATTTCGCGGTCGAGCTTGCAGGATGACTAGAGTTGCAGGCGAAGCTGGTTCCCTTGAAACTACTACTTCATAGACTGACCGGGGGAATTGAAGAAACATATCGTCCCATGTCTATCGAAAAAAGAACTGACATCATACTCCTGGAGCTGGAGTGAGGTCATTCGTTCACTCACTGAGTCTTTGTTTAGCTGCTACATAGCTTGAGAAGAACGAGCACAACATGATTGTGGTGATGATTAATTTTGGCGTTTTGGATTTTTGGACTTTACTACTACTACACGTACACCTGGGACGAGTAAAGGTAATTATGAGACAAAGCGTCGTGTTCGTATTTCAGCCTTGATCAACGCTGATCTTTCTCGTGCAAGAAGGAGCGCGGCGAAGATGTTTTTAGGCGAGATACAAAAATGCCCAGCATACCTATACTTCTTTACGCTCATGGTCATTCATGATCTAGAAGAAGTAGCACTAGCTTCAGGACGAGATCATATGATGGTGAGTGTATGCATGGGAAGCCTCAACATGCGCCTCGAAGACTTTAATAGGAGAAATACGTACAACGAACACTGATCCACTACAAGATCAAGAGCAACACTGTGAAGATCAAGAGCAACTCTGATTCTGTGCTGTCCTCTGAGCAAGTTGGAGGATCCACTTGAACAACTTGTTTCAGCCCTCCTCAAAGAGATGTTCAAGAAAAGACCCGCTTGCTCCAGTCCTAGTACAACTAGAAAGATCAAGAAAAGCAAAAGATCCACTTGTTCCGTCCATCAAGAAGTACAGCAAGGAGATCTAATAGTCAGAAGATCACCCTCACTCTCCGTACTGAATGGTTCTGGTATTTGGTAACCTGAATTTGATCCTAAGGGAAAACAAGAAGAGAACCAAATACCAGAAACATACACGTACTAACTTAATGTTATATATAATGATATAATTTTCGAGATTTTTTATCTGGAATAAAGAACGCCAACCTACTTCAAAAATCTTCTTCACGACTTCTACCTCACAGCGCTCATCACAACTTGCTTTTCTTCGCTGAAAATAGCTTTGACTTCTGAACTTATACTTTGAAAGGAAATAGTGTCTACTCATAACGTAACTGCTTTTTTTTTTTCACAAGCAGCACGAATCTGATCGCTTTCATCACAAACACTTTTGCGTTCTAAGAAGCCTTCTCGATATATCCAGTAACCTGATCAATCTACCGAGAGTTAATATCAAATATTAAGCAGTACCAAAATTATTGTGAATCTTCACCGGATCCAAAAACGATGAGTCCCTTTCGTGATCGTGGCCGCGGGTGGTGGCGTCGTGAACGATATTCGTTATCTACTCTGGGTGTGCTGCTTTTGATCAAAGCGCTCTTGGGTTCAGATGTTAACTTTTTCGCTGTTGCTGCAAATTGGGGCAGGCACGATGCATCATTAGCACAAGGTGATTTGGAAAGCCATGGACATGGTCGTCGTGATCGGGAAGATGCTGATAGAGGTTCTACTGAAGCAGGAGCACCAGGTGCTCCGACTCAAGAAGAGCAGGCATCTTCTAGGTGGATGTGCGGCGGTGTGGCCCGCTGGTGGAGGAATCATCCAACTATGAGAAAAATAGGGAGAAGACTAGTGATGTCGCTGGCGCTGATGTGGGCCATAGACGAGACTCTTGGTCAGCAAATTGAACTCGGGATCGCGCGCGACGTGGAGCCTTTCCTTCGACATCTGGCTGGAAATGAGCATTTATGGCCGTTGTACAAAGATGAAGAAGACAATGAGATGAATCCCGTGAATCGCGAGGCTCTTGCTTGCGACCCCAGGGGCGAATACGAGGGGCAGGATGAGATGGAGCGCCTCGAAGAATTTGCGCCGGGTGTGCGGTTTAGATTGATGAAGACGAACGAGCAAGAAGGTATAGCTTTTCTGGCGAGGGGTCAACAGGGTAAGCTAGGTAATGGACAAGAAGAGCGATCTTCTCAAAAACAACACGACGCGGCGCCTGACCCAGACGAGGTCCTGCATGGGGAAGAAAAAGAAGATGAGGAAGACAAGGAAGATGATCTCCCGCCCGTTCTTAAGTTGTTTCCGCAAACGATTGATTCTCCATACGACCAGCAGTTCTTTGAGATTTGTCAGCTGGTTGCGACTATATCTGCGCTACAAATTTCCTACAATTATGCCTTGTGGAAGGCAGGGATTCCATATTATCTGTACGCTGTTTTCGATTTCAAAGAGTTTTTCGTCGATTCGCTAGTCCGCAATGAAATCTCTCCGTCTGATACGGGAGACGGTGGGTCAATACCGTTGCACAAAACGTCCCGAGTGAAGCGCGACTCCTTTAGCGAGAACCTGTTCCTCTTTCCACAAGGCATGCATATCCGCGAAAGTTGGGCGAGGAAGGTGCATCGGGACGATATTGGCCAAGGCGCGCCTCTCGTCCGTATCATCAACAACCATTTTTTTGGTCTCACCCACAATTGGCTGTGGAACGGTTTTGTTCCGGACAAACGCCCGAGGGCCCGGTGGATAGAGGATGGCTTTCCGCCGAAAGTAATGGACTTTCAAGTGCACGCGCGCTCTAGCCCATCTTCGGTGAGGCAGCTCTGCCAGGAACCTGACAGAGGAACGGGGGAGCCGGATAAAAAGGGGATGTATGGTGCACAGGGCATACCCGGTTTTCGGGAATTTCAAGCTGAAATTGAGCCAGTTACCACGGCATTCAAACTCTCATCGATAGGGAAAGACTCATTTTGGTATGCGAGCCAAACAGCTACTGGAGCTGCTCATTTCAGGGAGAAGTGGCTCGCAGAGGCCTTCGATACCCTTCGTCGTGAAGGTTGGGTTCTCACAACTGCGCTTCGCGCGAAAAACATATACAAACCTGATGGGCCATTAGGTGTTAAGGCACGGCATTCACTAGATTGACTCTTTGAAAAGGACATGCATCACACGACAGTTACCATGATATATAGCATTGATATTGACGTGAAGACTTCGAACCCCCTGAGAAGTGTGTCGAGTTTTGCGATAAAGACTTGCAGATTCAATTTGAATTGTAAATCATCTTTCTGTTTATTTATCAGAACCTTCAGTTCGAAGCGTCCTCCATTTCTCGTCACAAGATCGAGGATGCAATTTTTTATTTTGGACGATCGTAGCCAGCTCTAGTTTTCGTGAGTCCTCTAAGTTTTATGGGCATTTCGATAAGAAAACCGGGGACTGGGTTATGGATGTCGATTATGAGAATCCAACGAATGGAGTGCAGTGTCTGCCACAGGATGCCTCCAGTCTGATTGACGTGCCACCTGGCTGGAAACCATCTGCAGGAAACGGGGGAAGAGTGGAGTTTACAAACTCGGGTACTATGAGTCTCTCTGTGCTGTTTCTTGTGTGCTTCTTCTATGAATCTCTCTGTGTTTCTTGTGTGCTTGGCAGGTCGCGCTCCTGTCAGGGAAGTATCTATGAGCGTGGCTCTATTTCTGGAGACATTTTTTTAGTTCTTTGATTGTTTACAAACCTTATAATATAATTGAATATATGCTTATGCCTCCCCTGTTCTTCCGCGAAAGCCGTAGATAGCATGATGATGATGTCGGGTTCAGTGTGGCAGTGACTAAAGATGTAGTTGCCATCGTCTTCTTACTTCGATCGTGGTCTCTGTCATCTTTATCATTCTTTATTTCTGATAATTGATTTTTTGACGCATTTTTATTTCTGATTCATCTCTGAAGCTGCCATTTTTCCACTCGTGAATCAGCTCCTTCCGGTGCAGCAACTAGTACGAGGTCGAGTCGGCCAGCTGCGATCTTCGGAGAGACGAACCACGTGGTGGTGATCGCCGATCTCCTCCGCGACGCGGGAGGAAAGCCCACGCATTGGATTCTTTTCAACTCCTGGAAGCCTTGTCCAAGACTGAAAGTTGAGTACGGAAACAACCTTCTTGGACTTATGGACGACGTCTACAAGCTTCGCGCAAACGTACCCAAGCAAGCTCTCGACTGGCTGAAGAAGCGAGGCGACGCGATGGAAGGATTTGTTACAAGATTTCTGGAAGAGGCGGAAGCCCTGGCCGCAGCTGAAGAAGATGAAAGTCGTGCTAAAATTCAAGATCGTGAGCAGGCGGGTGACGGTCAGGACGAGCAAGCGACAGGAGCGAGAGAGCAACAAAATAAATATACAAAAAACAATATTATTAAACAAGGTGCCACAAGATCAAAAAAACAAAAGTCGCGGGCCGCGCGGCCGCGTCAAGCAAGGAATAGATTCAGCCAGGCACAACGGAGGGAGGCAAGAAGAAAGGTAAGGGAGGCTCTTATGGCTGAGCTACAGTTGAGTGATTCTTTGCGGCGAGAACAAGGACAAAGTAGTTTGCGATTCTAATGCACAGAACCAATTTTTAGAGCGTTGCCTAGAAATATGGAACCAATTTTTAGAGCGTGAGTCATATTATGCACAAGGACGATGGTCCTTGTTTGGTTGGGCTCAAAGAGGGAGGAGAAGGCGTGATACTTTGGGCCATGATACGTTTGAGGAGGATCAATGAGATCTCATGTTGAAGCACGTTGCAAACGAGAGTAGTAGTATTATAGTAGACTGACCGGGGGGATTGAAGAAGCATATAGTCCTACTTCTATCGAAAAAAATATACTGACATCAGACTCCTGGAGCTGGAGTGAGGTCATTCATTCACTCACTGAGTCTTTGTTTAGCCGCTACATAGCTCTAGAAGAACAGGCACAGCATGATTGTGGTGATGATTACTTTTGGCGTTTTGGATTTTTGGACTTTACTACTACTACACGTACACCTGGGACGCGGACGAGTAAAGGTAATTATGAGACAAAGCGTCGTGTTCGTATTTCAGCCTCGATCAACGCTGATCTTTCTCGTGTAAGAAGGAGCGCGGCGAAGATGTTTTTCGGCGAGATACAAAAATGCCCAGGCCCAGCATACCTATACAACTTTTTTACGCTCATGATCATTCATGATCTTCTAGAAGAAGTAGCTGCACTAGCTTCAGGACGAGATCATATGATGGTGACTGTATGCATGGGAAGACTCAACATGCGCCTCGAAGACTTTAATAGGAGAAATACGTACAACGAACACTGATCCACAAGATCAAGAGCAACACTCCTGTTCGGAAGATCATGATCTGATATAAGGAGGATCCTGTCTGAAGATGACGATCTAATAAAACAAGATCATCTACATCTACTTAGAGGAAGCAATATTCTACGACCACCTACTTCGTTCCTTCTCTTGAAGAAGAGGAAGATCCTTCTTTCATTCTACGACCACCTACTTCGTTCCTTCTCTTGAAGAAGAGGAAGATCCTTCTTTTATAACTACGACCACCTACTTCGTTCCTTCTCTTGAAGAAGAGGAAGATCCTTCTTTTATAACTACATGAGAGCGACTCCTTATTCCTCGAAAGAAACATCCAGAGAATAATCGCCTCAAAAACACAGTAGGTAAAAGTGAAGATCGCTTTTTTCTTCTGAAAGTAGAGGAAATTGCTTCGAATAGGCTAAGACTATCTTTTCTTTTTTTATACAACATCAATATCAAAGGCTTTCGCTTTCTACAAAAACAAAGTTTGCTACCTCTCAGTAACGTCAAATAATAGAGAAGCTACCCCATAGTTTCTATTCCGTAACATCTCGTATTTGCAAATCCGAGTTGACTAGCAACAGCATCATCAGCGCCATACATCCTCATCCTGCGCACCATACTATCATTTAAGTAGCAACCAACTAATAGGTGTAACAACAACAAGAGCAAGAAGCATCAACAACAAGTTCATCCACCTGATTACTATTACAACAACAAGAGCAAGAAGCATCAACAACAAGTTCATCCACCTGATTACTATTACTTCTATTAGTACTTCAAAAGATGAAGTGCTTTCTCGGTCCTCGTGGAGCTGGCGCTCCGTTGACCGCTCTGACGGCCTACTTGCACGCTACCTACATGGCGACTGGCTGTGAAGCAGCGATCCTAGGTCGAGGCAGGTTCTTCTCATCTGCAGCGCGTCAGGGAGCAGAAGGGGGCGATATGATCGAATTGGCCGACTTTTCGGCCGGAAAAGCTACTGCATCTCCCCCTCGACATATTCCTGCTGCACTTCTTGAAAAAGTTGCAGGCGAAGCTGGTCTCCTTGAAACTACTTATAAGGGACTCCTCGAGAAGAAAAACAAAAAGGGTGCAGAGAAAACATTCGTATATGTTTCTCGAGGAACAACTAGTTGTTGTACAGCAGATGATCAAGATCATAAAAATGAAGAGTCGTTCCAGCAGATGGTAAAAAAGCTTCTGGACGTCGAGTCAAACGCGTGGCATTACCATAAGAACTTGGTCTTTCTTGTCGAAGGTCGTCGACAACCTCAACAGGATCAAGGAGAAGGAGTTGAAGTCAGAACAACAACATCGGCACCATGCGGAGCATCTGGTCCGAGCAAGAAATTGGATGCGGCCTACGCGTATGTGGACACGAAAACAAACGAGGGAGGTTTTTTCGCAAATCTTGGACTAACCGAAGAGCAGAAGGACTTCTTGATGAAGAGTGAAATGCAATTAGAGCCGACTCAAGACCGGCGGAGCAGTGTAAGTGACATCCTTGTGACAGGATTCGAGTACGTGCCATGCTCTTCCGCTACTACGTCAGAGCCCTCCTCGCAGCAGCACTACAATCTTCGGACTCATGCAGCGCTTGGGATTCACCTCTTTTCAGACGGGGTCAAGCGAATTTTCTCACGTCCCCAAAACACTAAAACCACGACCTTTGTTGTAGGAGCTATTGCAGGGGACGAGGAGCAGAAGGTCGCGGACGAGGCAACAAGAATGAAGATGATTACTGAACAAGAACATGCTGGAAAGGTAGCAGAGATGATTAAAAAATTACTCTCACGACACGAGGGCTACCTACGAACAAAGAAGCAGCTAGAGCTTGAGACGGGATGGTGGAATCAGGTTGCTCGTTGGTTTCAACGAGGGGAGGGAAGGCGTGAGACTTCGGGACCTGTGGTTGGCGAGGATCAATGAGATCTCATGAAGCGCGTTGCAGACGAGAGTAGTAGTATTATAGTAGACTGACCGGGGGGATTGAAGAAGCGTAGAGTCCTACTTCTATCGAAAAAAATATACTGACATCAGACTCCTGGAGCTGGAGTGAGGTCATTCATTCACTCACTGAGTCTTTGCTTAACTGCTACATAGCTCTAGGAGAACAGGCACAACATGAATGTGATGATTGATGCTGATTACTTTTGGCGTTTTGCTGGTGTTTTGGATGGCTGCGTTACTACTTATACCCCGTGCATGTTCGTGGGTAACTGATAGTGGAACTGGGAGTAAAAAGGATATTGATCGAAATACTAGAATGCTGGCGTTTGGAACTGCTGGAAGTAGAGATTAGACGATGACCTGAGGACTGAGTTGAAACCTAGTAGAGCAGGTTGCCCAGGATCTAACCGAACTCTGGAAGCCATGCTCTGTTGCGTTATCTTCGTTTTTTAATGGGAATTTCAAACTTTTCATAACAGAAACAGGAGGGTTAGATAGCGACGCCGTCAGTGCTGAGGCGAAGGCCGTTGGGATATCAACGGGCGAGTGATGTTTTCAGGCACGTCCTGGCTTATCATGCCAAATAGTCTCTTTCTTTTCCATTCTTGAGTATGCTAAGGCAGTTAAAGAGTGGCGCACTTTCGAAGATTGAAAAAGCGGAAAAAAAGCATGGCTTGCCTAGAAATGAACGCTCCCACACGGCCTTCGCGGGTCTTCGGTTGCCTACAATAGAATGAAACGGATCGAGGATGTTGGAGAGATAACATGGTCAGAACGCCTGAAAATGTCAACGGCGAATGAAATACGGAGAGACCCCCAAAGGGGCGGCCCCCTAGAGAGATACCCAAAGACCCCCAAAAATTGAAAGCAAGAAGGGAGTGCAGTGAGTGAGAGAGTGATCCCCAAAGATCATTCCCAAAAATGAACTACGAAAAAGCGCAAGGCGTTGAGTAAACAGCTCGGCTCCCCTTAAGATCTCAGATGCCTGACTGGTCTCGGCTGGTCTTGAAAATGTTCTTACAACTCTTATGGTACTAAGGAAACAGATTTCAACTCTCCACATCCCCAAATGAGAGGCTTGATCTCTCAATAATAGGCTTGATCGGATGCCTCTCTGGCACTCAACATTTCGTTCGTTTTTTTTCAAAAATATGGGATCTCGCGTGTTATAGCGCGGTTTTGCGCTTTTTCCAAGGGGCTGGGAGATCTGGGACCCTTAGAGCCACTCTCCGAACCGTGTTGGCGCGTTTAGTGGCTCTAGGGGTCCACCGATTGACTAGGGCATCGACCTTGCTCTTTGTCTTGTGGTTGCGTTTAGTCGTGCTTAATGGTCACCAAGGTGGCCAAAATAGCATTGGGAGCGCTGGCCTTTTGTGTTTCTGTGTGTGGTTTTGACAGGGTGTTGTCAGGGTTATACGCCTAAGCACACGTCTTTGGTGGCCTTGTATGGCTTGCGTGGCGTTCCTACGGGAGGCCAAGGCGAGCCGTCGCCGCCTCGTGGACGTTAACGCGCCATTTCGAGCTACCGTGGCTCGAGATGTTGCCCTAAAGTCCTTTCAAGAGGATCAATGTCTTGCGTGGGCGTTAGGACTTCTTTCCCCGCCTTGGGTGTGCGAGATGAGGCCTTAACGTCCACGCCCCTGCCCTGTGAAGAACAGCGTATGTGTAGAGCGCCACGACACGCTTGTCAAGCCCTCGCATCTCTCTCTGATTAAAATTGTACAGGTCCAGACCCAGACAATAGGAGGCTACTCGCCCAGAGCATTCAGCCCGCAAAAAACAAAAAGAAAAGCAGTGTCGTACATTCCCGGGCAAGCCTTAAGGGACCACGAATACAAACGGCGCGTTGCGCAAATTGTGGCGAAAGCCTCCTCCCTAGCCCAGGACCGTTGGGGGTGCGGATGAAATCGCCGATATGCACCGTGGGCCACTCCGGTTGCTTCGGTTGCTGTTTGGGGTGCGGATAAAATCGCCGATATGCACCGCCGTCGCGCTTGGGCCAAGGGCCTCCTGGAAGTTAGCACTTTGGAACCTTCGCTGGCCAATGCTGGCGGTAAGGCCCTCCTTGAAGCCATGAAGGCGACCGGTATGCAAGACTTGTAGCATGCGGCTTCCCTGCACAGTAGCCGCTTGGAGTTCATGGACTACAAAGCAAAAAGGACGATCCCCACGGCGCTACGAGTCTTGCGGAGGATATTTCTAGAGCAAAAGAAAACTGACGAAATTGACATGATGTCCGCGCACACAGCTTCAGCAACGACGTCCACGAAAACGCCGAAGAAACAGGTGAGCACCGAGCAACGCCTCAAGGAACTGTCAGGAATCTATCGAGCAACAGGTGAGAGAAGCGCTCGCCAAGTCTGGCGTGGATGGTGTAGCGTTAGAGCGGCGCACTGCGCTGGAGGCTGATGCAGCTCTCAAGGAGGCCACGTTGCCGCCGACGCAGTTCATTTGCAAAAGTTTCTGGTCGCCTATGCCGTGGCGAAGGAGGACACGGATCTGGGCATGCGCCTTGCAACGTTACTGGCAAACTCCATCGGAAAACTCCATCGGCGGTTTAATCAAGACATAGATATGCTCTGTTACCAAGTAAGAAGAAAGAGACACTGAAAACAGACGAGGAATTCGTCTACTCATAAAGTTATACTAAAGGTGGAAAAGGACTCATTACCGGCGAAAAATATAATATGGATAATGATAATAATAATAATAATTATGATTGTACAACTAGCACGACTGGAACTGATTACGTTCTCGTTCATTCATCTACGAGGCCGTGGCGTTCTTGTACATGACTGTTGTTCTTGTTGGTACTATTCGGGTCGGTGTCAATTCGGCGTTCACGTGGTTCTGTGAGGCATCGGGTGTATTTCTTCTGGTCATCGTCGAATCGTCATCTTCACATATTCATCATCATCTTCACATATTCATCATCATCATCATCATCATCATCATCATCATCATCATCATCATCATCGTCGCTGCTCGACGAGAGGACCGAGAGACGACACAAGCACGAGCGCGCTCAATGGTGGACCATCATCATGGTGCGTTCTTGCCGGAAGTTGAGAGAGGACGTCGACATATGTAGAAATATTATCTGCTGGAGAAACACAACAAGTGTTGTGACATGATAGTAGTCTCTACAACCAGCGGTTGTAGACTATTCATCGTGCTCACAACTGAAAGCTGTAGCCATCTAACAAGATTCCATTTTACACCTTGGTCGTGCCGGTTCCGCAAGAGTTGCTTTCGCACTACTGCAAATATGAACAAGACCTGACTGCAAATATGAACAACAAGATTGATTGATTAATTTCGCCTCTTGTTCCTCACCGCTGCTCGGCTACACTAGAGACATGCAGAGCCGCGTCTTTCGCCTCCTGTTCCTGACTGCTGCTCGGACTAGAAACATGAAGAGCAGTCGTCCCTTGGTCTTCCGCCTCCTGTTCCTGACCGCTGCTCGGCTACTTTTCCTTTACCTTATTCACGGAGAAGAAGCAGGTGCTCGGCACGCATGTTTTGGCATGGGCAACGATTGGATGGAAGCGCAATGCTGCAACACAGCCTCATACGGTCCCCGCGGTCTCCGTCTTTGCTTTCAGAATGCGCTTTCGTTCGAATTTTGCTGTGCGCATATCAAGAATGAAGATGCTGCATTTGGAACAAGTGCAAGTGGTGGAAGTAAAAATACAGGAGGGACATCGACTTCTACTTCAGCAACATCATCAAGCGGGACGCGTACTTCTTCATCTAGTCTTGAAGAAGATGGAGCAGCGTCTAGTTCGTCTACTTCAGATGAAACGTCAGCTTCTGCCTCACGACTCTCAACACACAGAGAGGCAGACGCACAGCTGCACACAGAGGAGCACGAGGGAATAAAATATCTCGAAATAGCGGATCCACAGCAAGGGTTTTTAGATGGTTGCTCCTCTGTAATGACGTGGATTCCCATGATGCATGCGGTAATGTTACTTTCGAGTGTGTCTTACAGTACAAGCACAGGCGAAGTTGAGAAAAACTCAGACCGAGACGCGATAATATCAAGCTTCTACTACAACGATGCGGAAGAAGGATCAAGCTCAAGGAGTGATCAACGGCAAGAAGAAGGAAAAGAACAAGAGGTAGGAAAAGAACAAGAGGTAGCTATAGAAGAAGGGCCTGCGAATCCGATAGAGGCTCAAGGAGTGATCATAGACGATGGTCCTGCTGCACATGGAGATAAAGGTACACAAGTTGAGTTAAGGCCGCCAGTTGTACAACTAGTACCGCATGATTATGTGCAAAGGCAAAGGCATCCTGCTTCATCTACTATTTGTAAATGTTGTTGTCGTGCGGAAGCTGCGGAGTATTCATCTTCTTGCTCTTGGCTCAACAGAAAATTTGAATTTGTTTATGGTTCTTTGAATGCAGAGGAAAGATGAACAAGTAATACGGCGCATGATCATGCCAAGTAGCAGGTCCTCGTTGCCTCCCCGTACTTCTTCTAGGCCTTGTAGTACCACCAATCGCTCTAAAAATAGAGGAGCCGCTCGAAAGAGATAGGTGCGGAAAAAATGTAAGTCTCCTAAGAAGTCGAAGTACTTCTTGAGTACTTCTTGATCCGTAGTCCTTCTTGATCCGTTGATATGCGTATACCACAAGCATGTGGTCCAAGAACTGCAACCAAGACCAACATTATTTGTTCTTTATGAAAGATTTAAACAAGATTTCATCTAACTCAGCCACCAGCCATCGACAGGCTTGTCCGTGTCTCCAGTCCAAGGCCCCTTACCGACAGACGTTCAATGGCGAGCGGCGCAGATCGAACGCTTAGTTCAAGAAAGACTCGGTTTTAGTATGCCTCACTTACATCGCGCAGTCATGTTAAGGCCCGACCACCTGCCGCTAGTAGCATTGTTAGATATGTTGTACCTATACGATAGATACCACTCATTGAGAGCGAAGATATGGGAATGTCGTTCCACCTAAGTAAGGAGGGCCTAAATGAGGGGAACGACATTCCCTTATCGACGTTCTCAATGAGTGGAAGCATTCTGTTGCTGCATCCACCTCAGCCTCAGATCTACATGAGACGTCCCTGGCTTCTTTTTCACGGGAAGAAAGGAGCGTCCCAGCACTGCTGTGTCAATTAAGGAATAAGATGTGACGCGTCAGCGCTTCTAAGCATGGACTATTTCCGCGTAGGGAGACTAGATCTTGCTGTCATTTCCATGTTAGGAGACGTGATTCGGCTGTTTCCCTACGCCTTCTCGCGGTGTCCCCTCGTAACGGCAGTGACAGTCTTACTCAAGTTAAGAACTCCTCATCATGGTACTTCTCTTGTTTCTTCACGTTGAAAATATCAAGAATTTTTTTCAACTTGAGGATCATAGTACAATTTGGAAGTAGTAGTAGTAGTAGACCAGCCCACGTGTTGAACAAGTTAAACTGAAACAAGTAGTACGCCCTTACTCCCGCAGAGTAGAAGATCGCGCAAAGAAGTTGTTTCTAACTATAGTCCATCAACTTGGGGGTCAGGATTTCGCGTCGGCAGTGGAAATGTACGACTCTATAGTGCTTCTTGTTGCAGAGGCTTTACGTGACGAAAAAGTGCCTTCGCTTGAAGCATGGGGTTGGGACACGTTGAAAGCCAGGTTTCATCCAGTAAATACACGCAGTTTTCTTAATAGGACAACTACAACGACCACAAGGATGAGATCAATAAGAAGTACTGGTAGTACGAGTTCTTGTAGTACGCGTCCTAGTACGACGAGTTGTAGTACTTCATCTTCAAGAGCTGTTGAGACACGCATGAGTGGGACGATTTTTACACCTTCTAGAAGTGCTCGTGCGAGTGCTACTACAAGTACCCATCTGACAACAAGAAGGACAATAGGTCTGAAAGAGCTGGCGTTTCACAATTACCTTTCTTTTGCGGAGTCCGTGATGTGCTGTGACTTTATGCCGCGTTTGCGAGAAGGACTACGAGGCTTGGAAATGATTATACCTTCAACAACTTCTAGTATTGCTATAGCTCCTGTGGTGGCACCACAACCACACTTGACGTCGGTGACCACTACGACTGCATCGTCTGGCTTATTTTCTGATGAAGTGGAACCTCTACAACCTGTTTCTTCTGCGACGACTTCTGCCACAAGAACTTCGTCTTCTGTGATTTCGATTTTCACAGGATTTCGACAGGCACAGACGAGTAAGGCCGCTGATTCCTCCGTGGTATCACTTCCTGATGGTCGTTTTTCTCTCTTAACACAGCGACCGACAGTGGATGTTGTCATTCCCTATTGCTGCGAGGAAATCCTGGAATTGGATGTAGCACTCCTAAGCGTAACGCGTTTTTTCATATATGACATTTGCGGTTGCAGCCTCGAAAAATTGCAGAAAGCATTGAAGGACTGGAATCCCGGTAAGACGTTCGATGTGAAAGAAATAGGCCCAGAAGAAGATCAGGGAAAGGGAATGGAAAGAAATAATAGGTGCGGAAGATCAACAGAGGTACACCATCGCGCGGATCTTCAAGTAGATTCAAACATCTCTTCCTCATCTTCCTCCAGAACAAAAAATTCTTCTACAATCAACAACATCTACTATGATACGTCCTTAACAGAAAGTGTTCCGAGTGGTGAAATAGTGGGTTACTTCTTCCACATATGGAAAAATTACGATGATCTGTCGGATTTGACGATTTTTTTGCATCCAGATTACAAGGAGCATGTCCGGGAAGCTGTGCTTGAGCGCTTAGCGGTGGCAATAAACGGGAACCTGACGTGGAATCATCAGACTTTACGTTGAGGATCTTCGTGGTGAATCGGTCGTGTCCATCTTCATGGAGATGGGGGAAGGTAGAAGTTTCTCTTTGATAAGTAGAGGATAAGCTCTATCTTGGGTAGCAACACTTAGTCTTAGAGTCTATGCCTAAGAAACCAGTTGTACTAGTGTTGCTCTTACACGACTTCGTCCTGCTCTAGTACTTGCTGTCGCTCCACCTCCCTCATCCTCCACCTCCCCACTCTCTCACACACAACGACAACCTAGTACACAAGCTCTACTAGCTCTTCTAAGTACCATTCCCTTTTGCTCTCTTCAGAATGTCAACAATGTTCTCTCTACACTAGCTCATGCTTTTGCTCTCTTAATAAGAATGTCAATGTGAATGTTTCTTGTAGTTCCAGCACTAATTTTCCACTTTATGTATCTTGGATGGCGTCATGAGAACCCGGTGGTCCCTGGTGGGAGAGTGGGCCCTCATTGGAGTCGACACTGCCCCCACTACGAACGAAGTACGGGACGTCCTCTCACGCCCTGTCTTAAGGCTACTTGTTATTGTCTACTATATTGATTGTACTATATTCTCTTAATTCTCCATATTAATTCATTCTCTATGTTGTATCCATTTTATTCTCTCCATATTAATTCATTCTCTATGTTGTATCCATTTTCTCCATATATCTCTCGAGGCTCGCTGAGAAGGATTCACAACCTAGCCTAACCCTCAGTGCTCGTTGTATCAGTATCTCTCAGTTCTCAGTGCTGGTGCTCGTTCTATCTCTCAGTCCTCGTACTTGTTTATCTGGTAACAATTCTCTATCTCTCAGTGCAGCAGGGCTCGATCTCGATGTGCAGGGTTCACAACCTAACCTCTATCTCTCAGTCCTCGTCTCGGGCACTTAATATCTCACACTTACCACGTTACTCATATAATTGAGTTTGCGAAACATCTTCTTTGGTTCCCTTTTGGCGAGTCCTTTAAAGGAAGGAAAATTTCTTTAGAGCATGATGCTTCTCATGAAGATCATGAATAAGGTCTAATTGTCGCTTCGATAATCTCGCATTTGCGAACGTGGTGCGTCGTGTGAGTCGCAACGTCGTTGGTGATTATAATCTTAAGGGTTGTAGAGATTTTTCAAATAATGGCGAACGAAGGTTGTAGAAGAACAAGATCAGGTGTAAAAACTGACTTCTTCTAAATATCCTGAGCTTCTACGAAGGATCTGGCGGATCCTTTTTCAAGAGGAATTTGACACCAGGGTAGACGACTTTGGGGGATATGATTTTAACCAATTTCTGGTCAGTCGTGAGCGAGTTCACGAATCAGGTGCTCGGTCCTGGTACAAGCATGTGGCTTATCAACTTTAAGAGGAGCAGATGATGAAGGGAATGATAGTGAAAAAAAAGGAATGTTGATATGTACTACGTAGTGAAGTGAATGTAGTAAGAGATGAGTAGAATAAAAATCAATTATAGAGTTTCTTTATTTACTTTTACTGACCTACGGTTTCGGTTGTTTGGGTTGGGACTGGGATAAAATATAAAAATGAGAGTGCAAATGGCTTTTCCTCCCTAACCCCAAGTAAACCACAGTGCTCCTTTAGAGATTATCATATTCTAGTGCAGGGTTAGACTAATCTAATAGTCGCAAGCGTTAGAAAGCTACCGCGACCTGCGCACTACTAGTACAACATTGGCGGGAACGACGAGAAGCAGGAGATTCTCACGACGTTCGCATACAACTGAAGCAACTTCAGTAGAGAAGAGAAAAACTTCTAGGAGGACATCAAGATCAACATCTTCAAGAAGAACGTCAAGAAGAAGTAAACGAGCAAGGAGTGCTGGTAGTAGAGGCAGTAGAACAAGAGAACTGCAACAAACTGATGAGGAACTGCAAGAACTGGACAAACTACCTGCCTTCTCTACTGAGCGGGAAGAGGATGACGAGGATCATGATGAACAAGATCGAGAAGATGAAGATGATGAACCTAGTAGAAGACATGAGCATGAGCACTCAACAGTAAGAAGAAGTAGAAGACACCCAACAGTGGAAACGTTTGTATCAGAACGGGTAGATCTTACACCAGGAACTAAGTTCAATAAAGGAGTGTGCATATGGTTCGAACACCTCTGGCATCTGATTTTTGGAGACGAGGAGGCTAGATGGCGACCCAAATCCGAAAGACACGATGTTTTCCTTCATGAATCGACTTCCGAATCTTCTGAGGAAAGACACGATCATGAATCCGGCTCCGCGTCGACGAACAACTACGAAAGCAATGTGGTAACAACTGCGAACGATGTGGTAACAGCTCAGTCTGATCTGAGGTGGAAAGCAGAACAAGAGTCCTCCAGGAGAAAGATTATGGTTATGCCACGTTAGAGATAAGTTAAAGTTTCAAAAGTTTAAATTTAATATGAGAATATCTGCTACTTCGGCAACTCAACACCACGTACACGTACTTAAAAGTAGTTATCTTCTTCTGCAAGTGCAATCAGATAGTTCCTCTGTGGTCAGATAGAAGTTCCTCTGTAGTATATAGATCAGATAGTTCCTCTGTAGTATATAGATCAGATAGTTCCTCTGTAGTATATAGATCAGATATATCGCGAGAAAAAACGTTATCATTATCGTTTTTTTGAATTTCTCAGAAAAGCATGACATGGAGCACTGCGATCCTGGGGCTTTTCGCCTTGCGATGGGCAAGCCGGCCCTCCCTCCACGAGGTGCCGCAGCAGACGCTGCGCTCCTCCTCCCATTGGCGCGGCCCTTCACTCATGGCGGGGCTTCATGGTACCGCTAAGCTCAAAGGCCGCGACCTCCGCTTACGCACGCCCGTGGGGCAGTGGCGTGGCCTGGCCCTGCAAACTTATCCGCAAAAGTAGCACACCGCGGGAACCAAGCGCGGCGCACTCGGAAAGCAGCCCCGCTGGCAATCGTTGGGGCGATTCCTGGGGGCAAGCAATATGAAACGCCAAGCCGATCGAATGGAAGCCGCGACGCCACTTCGCTCAAGCTCCAAGGAGGCGAGGAGACGACCGAGAGCCGCAGACGCGCGAGCGGCTGAAGGGGTCAGTTGGAGGGGGTGTTTGAGGGGGGTCCTTGTTTTCAGGGACCCCATTTGATAAGACTTCTGGCGCCCGACAGATAGGCGATAAGGCTTCTGGCGCCCGACAGTCTTCGCCGAAGCCCAGAAACACACTCTAAATTTTCAGAACCTCGAGGGGCAAGCGGGTGACAGGTGGGCGCCTTTTCTGCTTGCTCGTTATCGCGTTTTTGGCGAGTGTTTGGAGGGGTCGGCGGAGGGGGGCGGCGGACCACCTCCGGCCCGGCTAGAGGACCAGAGCGGCCACAGCAGAAAGGAGGCCGAGGCGCTAGAGGTCGGAGGAGGTGGGGCGCCAGAGGTGGCGGAGCAGCCGCAAGCAGCAGGGCTGCAGGCCATCCCCTGACACTCGGGCCCCAGATTCGCGAGGGGACGAGGAAACAAGCTACACGCACGCGCGTCTGCCATTGCTGGAAGCGCCTCCCGGAGAGCGCAGCACCACCCAGCAGCCAGAGCAGGACAGCAGCGCGCGCGGCGCCGCTGTTTTGTTGTCCGAGTCATGGGAAGCGCAGCCCACCCACAGACGCGCCAAGAGGAAGCGGCGAACGCTGGCGCCCCTCCATTCTTATGCCCACGCGCACAGCGTCCCGCCAATGCCTGGGATTTGTTATCCCAATCTGAAAAAATCAAAAAAACGATAATGATAACACTTTTGCCTGCGATAAGATAGTTCCTGTGATGTAGTCCATGTCCTGTGTCTCGTCTAAACTACTCAATCGAGGACCTAGTAAAACTTTTCTGACTGCGAGCGAAATTGTAGCGCGGATTCCATATCGTGCAGTGGTCGACTTCGAACTTGCTGAGAAGGAGGACATTGACTTAAGAAGAAGCACTCGTAAAAAATATCAGAATAAATTCAAGTTATACTTATACTCCACCTTCAAGAACGTTATACTTATACATAGAATCCACTCGTAAAAAATATCAGAATCCACCTTCAAGAACTAGAACACTTTCACTCTCTCGTCCCGTAGTCGTACGCAGAACAAATTCAGCACTTATTATCTTTATCTACTCATCATGCTCTAAGAGGAACTTTTTCGGACGGCGCCAGCAGGAAAAAATCGAAGAAACTTCTAGCAGAGACGCGTCGCTATCTATCTCATACGAGATGGGACGATGTTTCTCTGCCATTGGCGTTTCGTTCCTACGTGGATAGCGTTCAAATGCACAAGTATTATGGTGCTGAATCAGTCGACGAATTGTCTACTTCTATTAAATACCACCTTTAATAGCTACTCTAGTAAAGTTAATCTAAATCAAAATCTATCGAATAAACTAATTATAATGATAATTGCATTTTCGTTCTTCCTTGTTGTGGGTGAGTGGGTGCGTCACGAAGATTCTTCATGTTCATCAGACTCAGAGACAGAGGTTTACTACTTTTATCAGCTGCTATAACTGCAACTGCTCTACCTCTTCTAACGAAATCTGCTCAGGGCAAACGAGTCGTGTGCCTACTTGAATAAATGCTTGCCGGAAATCAGGATGATGCTGTAGACGGCATCGAGAAGCTGCCTCATCGAGTTTGATTCTGATTTTTTGAAGAAGATGCTTTAAATTGATGAAGAAGATGCCCTGATTTGTGCTGAAGATGCTTTGAAGAAGATGCTTTGAAGATGAGCATTCAAGCATAAGGCTCACGACTCAAAAATTCTGATGATTGTCTCACTCTTGCTTCATCGGGAAACTCCAGCAGCGGTTGTTGTTCTTGTTCTTGTTCTGGAGAAACATGATTCTGGATCGTCATAATCTGAAACTGAAGGTAGGACAAGACGAAGTTGATGAACAAGAAGTAGTGCATGATGACAGCAGAACAGCGGGCGCAGAATATCTCGTCCTCCTTGAGCAGGAGTGCTGTATAAGCGGTGAAATCGAGCTCCAGCGAAACGCAATCCACAGCATCATACCCAGCAGCTTACTACGCGGAATCGGTAGCTGCGCCGCAATGGCCGGGATATGACGCGGCTTCTACGTTGCCAGGGTTGACCGCGACTGCGTCAGGCCGCAAATCACGGAGGGCGAACGGCATCAGCGTGGAGAGTCCACACCTCGAACGAGGACCAACAGACGCCAACGTACAGGGGACTCGCCTGTATGCTGGCTTTTCCGCGCGATTGTTTCTCGCGTTCGGCGCCTCGTCGCAGATGTTTGGTGGCCGATGCAGCGCAACCCGGTGCCGCGCACGGGCTATCGCAGTCGTGTAAGACGACGCCAGACGCACCGAAAGAGACCAAGACAGCGGGCAAGAACCCTACCCCGAGATCCGACAAGAGCGGCGGCGCACCTGTTACGGTTCAACCAATTCGACTCGCAAGCGCGAGCACGAAGAGCGCAATGCAGAGGGTGCGCAGCAGAAAAAGCCTCGGTTGAGCGGTGCAAGCGATCGTCCGGGGCGAAGACCCGAGGATACCTCCCCTCGCTCGGAGAAGAATCGTCGAAGCAGAGGCCGGCGCGATCGTCGCGAGCGGCGTCGTGATCGGAGCCGTCGTTGTTGAAGCTCCTGCTGAGAAGGAACGACCGCGAAGGCGGTTGGATCGGAGGAGGCGACTCTGTACCTTTTTGACGGGCGCGCCCATGATACAAGGAGGCTAATGCACTCCACCTGTTGCCAGTTTGCGAACTGGATAACACTGAGGCCACAGCCTTAGGATACAAAAGAAAAGGCGGGGGCTCCTCTGAGTCTGAGTCCGAACCCCATCTCCAAGCATCACATTGTGATCCCCCCATGTTCAGCAGATGATCTCAAGGCATATTAGAGGTTGATCATGATGATAGAAGGCCGAGTCTTGGTTCGTGATGCCTCCTTTCGTTTTATAAAATTGGAAGATCTTATTTGTGCAGCATGAAGATCTAGGTCAAACGCTGCAGGATCATTCCTGAACAAGATCAGGATCAAACACTGAATATAACTACACCACAAACTACAGCTCGTCTTCGTCGTAGGAGTCATAGGATCAGAGAAGATCCTACGAATGCGTCATACGGTTTTTACAGCTCAGCAATCTTGTTCTAACTTCTTCTAGGAATAAACACAACAGCAGCCTTCAAAAGTATCTTTTTTCTCGAAAGAGCGCTTTCTAAGACTAACTAGAACTACGGAGTTGTTGTATAAGATAACTAGTGTTCTACTACAGAAATAGAGCACGAACTGTTCTTCCCCTAGTACAGCCTCGTTGTCGTTTTGATTTTTTCTCAAGGAAAACCAAAAGAGCCTTACTTCTAGAAAAACTGTTGCAGCTTAAAAGTAGAGCAAGATCATAAGCACTACGCTTTTTTGTTGTTCGTAGGTAATATCTCAATCAAGAACAGGAAAAATGTCTTCGACGTCTTCTCGTCGCATGGTACTGCCCTCGCTTGTTGTAGGCTTTTGTTGTCTGCAACTTGCTGAGGCGACAACTATTCCGGGAACCAAGGGCGCCGGCGCGGGCCAGGTGAAGCAGCTTTCTCTAGCAGCGAAGTGCGCAGGTCTTCTCTGCTTGAGCATGCAAGGGACTCCAGCCGGCGCTGGTATCTCACTTAGCAATACCGGAAGCAACTGTACTAACGCCACTACCACCACTTCTGAGACCGCTGCTGACGCTTCTGGTATGTACACAAAGACTCTTGCCGAAATGGGCATGATGGACGGAGACGGGGACAATTCCACCATCACGATGCCTTTCTTGTCTCCCGCTTCTTGTGGCGAAAATCCTGGTTGCGCGAGAGCTCACTTGTCAGGTGATTGTTGTCCCACGGGAGATGGAATCTACCTCGGCTGCTGCGGTGCTCCTCCTTCTCCCGGTCCTGCTCCTCCTTCTCCCGGTCCTGCTCCTCCAGCGCCGCCAGCTCCAGCTCCTCCAGCTCCACAACCTTCTCCGAGCCCTCCTGGTCCAGCTCCGCACCCAGCGCCTCCCGGAGAGCGATTCAAGCTGGCCGCCAATTGCGCTGGAGGCCTGGATGCATTCATGGAGTGTTTTGAGGGGTGGAAGTACCACTTGGAAACGCAAGCGGACCCAACTGGCGGTTCGGTCGCCTACGGCCGTGGCTGGGAAATGAGGGATCAATTGATTAAGGAACTTCCGGCTGAAAAAGACGAGCGCGTCGCCGATGGAGTCGTAGGGCCTCGTGTCGAAATCGGTTTCAAAAAAGGTGCTCCCTTTTGGTATGGGCCCTACCCCTATCGGCCTGCTATCCGTATGGCCACAAAGTTGGCTTTCGGTCCTGGATCTTTGTTTGTCTTTGACATAGAGCGCATGCCTGTTGGCGATGGAACTTGGCCCGCGTACTGGACTACGGGCGCCGCTGGCTACCCCTTCCCGGAACAGAGTCCCGCACAGTGGCCCAAATTAGGCGAGATCGACCTGATGGAGCACAATCACGGTGGACCCGATCAGGAGGTCCAATACCACGAAGGTATGGTGTCGACACTTCACACACTTCCTGGGTGTAGGATGGACTCCGTTCCTGAGATTTTCCCGAACGGAGACTGCGAGTTCGGCATGGGATGTGGAGTGCAAACCGAACGTCCAGGCACCACTACCCAGAAAGTTCCGAGTGGCAACCGGTTCAACTATGAGAAAGGAGGGATTCACGTGATGTCTTTTGAAGCCTATGGGGATGAAGAGACCGGTGCGCCACCCGCGATCAAGATGTGGTGGATTCCACGCAAGATCGCTGATACATTCTCGGAAAAAGAAAAGCAAGACGGCAAGTTCTGGGAACAACGGCTCTACGGAACTGGACCGGGAGCCTCTTCTTCCGGAGAACACCAACAAGGAGAACCTCAACAAGACAAGCCGTCCTCTGCAGAAGGGGTCTCGTCCTCTTCTTCTTCCTCTTCTTCTGGAGCAGCAGCAGGAGGAGACTTGGAGAAGCCTTACGTGGTTTTTCCTATGGGCACGGACAACTGTCCGTTAAAGGAATTTTGGGGTGACCAAACTGTAATCATCAATACTGATTTTTGTGGTTCTATGGCAGGGAATACCTGGAAGGCTCAGTCTCCGGAGCCGGGTGCTGGGATGAAGGAGTGCCAGAAGGCAGTCGGAAGTGACGATTACGCAAAGGAGTGGGACGATCAAGACGACGCGTTACTCAGTTCTTTGTCCAGCAAATGGATTTTTCGGTCATTGAGAGTGTTCAACCTCGAAGGGCAAGGACGACCCTATCCGCGTCCTGATGTTCCAGAAGCGATAATCGTCTAAATCTGGTCAATCTAGGACAACTTCTAATTAAGTCTTGTATACCCCATGATTGGGTACACTACTAGCAGCTACTACTACTTCCAATACTACTACTTCTACTAGTCCTGGTACTGTTAGAATATGAAGTTGTGAGGATAGCAGGGCGTTCTTGTTCTTACCAATGCAGAACTTTCAGTGAGCATGTAAAGGAGGACTAAGGAAGGATGATCATGTTCAAGGCTGTCCTTGTCCTTGTCCTTCGGGCTTTGTCCACCTACTCAGTAGCTGTTCAACCGCAAAGGACAAGGACAGCCCTTTCCGCATCTGACTGGTGTCAGATGAAGTTGTAGGGAAGGTCTTAGGGTGAGGGTGTGTGTTGTACTTACCCAAAAATTGGCTATGACTACATTTTTAGCATCCATGTTGGGGTAGGAATACGTCACTCGGAGCTGGGAGTGGAATTTTCTACTTCAGATTTTTCTACTTCATCGCTTCAACTACAACCTGTATCTACATCTCTTCATCTACAAGCCTGTTGAAGAGCGAAGTTGTTCGACCACACATAAATGCTGACGAGGAGATCACGAAGTAAATGGTTTTGGTTTACAGCGAAGAAGTATTAGTTTAGAGAGAACTAGTTTAAAGAGAAGTACTTCTAGTAGAGAGAAATCTATCATGTACAATCCGAAGCGACTAATATCATCAGACGAGAGTAGAAGTAGAAGTTGTACTACTAGTATTTAGAGAGAAAACCGGTAGAAGACGATCACTGAAGATCATTTGAAGAGGATCTCTGAAGGTGAAGCTCTCTACTGACGATCAGATTGATCAGAATAAAGATCAGAAAGATCAAAAAGATCCGTTAGTATAGTATCTCGTATAAGCTATATCGAATTGTGAGTTTCGCGAAATTCTGCATTCCTTGCCCGAGAGTCTGACTTTTTTTGAGCATGAAGACAGACGAAAGACGGCCGCACGGCGATGATTCTTGATGCTTGAGACGATGAGAGAGACAAAGAAGCCAGGCAAAGAACGTAGACGAAGAAGCGAGTCGATACATTTGATTGCCGTCTTTTTGTTAACTTCCTCTCTGTTTTCGATCCGTCGGCACTTCGTCTACGACTGGTCTGCTTTCTGCTTTTTTAGGCGTTACACCTAAGGCGTAGAGTGACGCAAGGCGTTTAGTTACTCTGCTGACGGTCTAGCATGCGCATGCCCCCGCTTACGGCGTTGCGTTCTGCCTTTTTTTTTCATAGGAAACAGAAAAAGACCTCTGCTATCTTATCAAAAAAACTAAAGTCGGCGCTTTCGTTAGTTTTCGTCTCCGCTCTGCGTCTCTGCGTCGTGTTTCTCTCTCGGTCGAAACGCTTCCAGTTTCCATGGCCCAGCCCTGTAAGGCTCTCCCCCTTTCAGGTCTATGATCTGCTGACGCAGTTGGTAGCCGCAGTACCCGCCAAGGAGTGCGCGACGTCAGCCACCACCCACAAGGGTGGCGATGCCTCTGCGCTGAAACTCGTGCGCAGTATCGGCGAAAATAAATCGCAAGTCCATACTGATTTGCTCACGGTGCCGGACGTGCTCCGCCGCGATTTTTTGGAGAAGTATGAAAGTGAAATTAAAGCTGGGCGCTGCTGCGTACCAACCACCCCAAGCCCCTACGCAGCACCCCACGGATTTGCCTACTTCCGACCCCTCTGCGTTTTCTTCGTCAGAGCTCCCAGCGAGCTCAAGCGGCTGCTGCCGGTAAGTGTCGAACTCTCTGCGTGAGAAGCTGCCCCATACGTAACCGAAAAGCTTGAAGGGGATTACTCGTCACATTCATACCCCGCCGAACGTCCATTCCCAGCAGGTTTTTCTTCCGATACCAACATAGACGCGGAAGCACTCAAGCAAAGAACAAGAACGAACCAGCTTCGCGACCAGCGAATCGCCCGAGGCTACCCATCACGATGATGAAAAGCGCTAGCACGAGCAAAGCCATGAAGGCCCAAGGCGTTGGGGAAAAGCCTCCCCCTATGAAGAAAATGGCGAAAGGGGGCAACCCAATGAAAAAAAACACAAAGCAACCGAAACAAGCAGCGACGAAGGCTGCCAAAGTACCGAAGAAAGCTGCCAAAACACTGGGGAAGGCTGTCAAAAAAATGATGGCCATGGAAGCGGAGTCGCTTGCTACATAACTTCCCCACTGTGGCTCGCATCGCTTTCGAAAGCCAACGATAGGCGCACTCCCGTCGGCTTCTGACTTTAGAGCGCAATGCATCGCATCACTTCAGTAAAATCAAAGCAAATCGATCAAGTTCGAGAATCAAAGAGCGGCCGCCGGGTAGTTGATGGCTTTCGTTTTCCATCCATCCAAGTAGAGGCCTCCGAGCAATATAGAAAAAGCACGCAGGTAATACGTACAGGAACAGGAAGCGAGTACCTCGCTCGTTGATATATTAGAAAAAGCGCCAGTAAATCACTGCGAGCGCTATCCTTTATAAATTGCATGGAGAGTCCCCAGACGGACCCAGATTCAACTATGGCGCCACAGTTGTGACGAACTTCGCACACGGTTAAGATGAATCAAGACCAACACGAACGCCACAACAAAGCCACGGCAAGCCGGTGAGCTATCAGCTTAACCAGCCCACAGCATACCACACGCATGCCATACGCTTCTGGCAGAAGCATTCAAAAGACACGGCGCCACACTAATAGGTCCCGCCGCACAATCAAAGGAGAAGCCTTCTCACATCAGCGCGCGGCATTTGCATTATCTGGCTAACGCGTCTAGCACTGCGCGCGTGTTCTCTTGCATTTTTTGCAAGCGACGCCATCGGCGTCGACAGTTCAGCCGATGCACTGCGCGCGACATGAGAGGAGCTAAACCGGACAAAAAAGCAAAACACTAAGGCCACGGAGTGCGCTGGCTAGAGTTGCGCGCTTCATTGTTATGCCATCGAGGTCGGGCTTGGTCTCTCTTTTGCTCTCTATGCATCGAATTCAAATGCTCCGCGTTTTCTTCTGCTTTCTTGTCATGTCTTTGCTGCAAGTCATGCCATCAGCGTGCTTCTTCCGGGGCAAAAGATGCCGCACATGCGCCGGCGCCAGCTGAACGGGAACGACGACGGAGACACTTGCGGCAAGTTTTTTTTTTGGAATTGGATACTTACCAAAGAAAACAGAAAACCAGCCCAGCAATGCTGCTGGGATGATCTTCACGGGCGCGAGCACTATCCACGCAGGAGCATGGAGCACGGGAACACTTTGGAAAGTGGGCACTACTGTGCTACCATCAACCACATCGCGCCAAGGTTTTTGCTGCTTCGTCGGTGTTGGCGTGTAAGATTCTCTTCGCATCGATCTAATTCTAACTCGCGAGCCAGCGAAGCCGTGCTTCTTAAGCACTCGCCTCGCTGATAGCAATCCTAAAACCAGTGGAACCAACCAGAACCAAGTCTGTCGCTCGCTTTGGACTATGCTACTGCTTTAGCCGCTGCGGGATTCAATAAGCCACGGCCACGAGCTCAAAGCGATAAGCGCTGCGCCTGTCTTACGGTAGAAGGCAGAAGCCTTGCAGCAGTGCAGCACTTTGGCCCCCCTTCAGGCTACCCCGTTGCGCGGTTTTTGTATCGTGGAGAAGCATGGAGAAGCTCCCCCGCGACGGTTTCGCCAATATCTGAAACAGCGCAACCCGCTATATTCTCAATTCGTTTGGCGCAAGCCGGCCAAAGTGCTGGCTTATCGAATCCAGGCAGTCCGTATGTGCTACAAGTTTGCTCTCTATTAATTCGCTAGCCAAGTCCTCTCCTTTAGGTGTTCCCTCTGTGTGAGGCGCTCTAGCTCTAGCAAGTTCTCTCTCGGTCGTGGGGTGGTCGCTGTTTTTGTTTTTCTGATTCGCTCAGCCTCCAAGATTGTTCCAATTCTTGCTGCCAGCAGGCTCTTCGAGGTTTTCACTGCATTGGACAAGCAACACAGTGGCAAGAGCTAGGCCAAGCCTCTCGCGTATACTGGTCAAAATAAATTTGCGAGCGGGTGCGTTGTCTCAATCTGGTGCGAATTATCTTGCGCGCAAGAGTTTGCAACTCCTTCAATAATGTCGCACGCAGCAACTGTCTGCAGCAGCACCAGACCCGTCAGGTTCTGAACGTAGTGGCCTTTCTTCTGCTGAGTAGCAGTTTTCAACTTTTTCAGCAGTATACTGATGGGGCTTCGGCTATTGCGTGGCTACTGTATGACTGACTGAAGACGCGGCGCATATCTCTCACGCGCGTCGCGTGCAGTCAGGTCGCGCCGCCTGGGTTCTTTTCAGTTGATTCGTGCGAAGGCTCCCGGCTCTGACGCGTGCAGCCCTTTGGCGATACTTTCACGCGCGACGCTTGTCGCCAAAGCAGCGCACTTCTGTGAGTATAACTCCCTTCAGTTCGGACCCACGTTCTTGCTGCCAATCGTTGGCCGCTTCCAGAAAGTAGCGGGTAAGTTTATCCCTTCTGGTCTCTGCAGTATTTCCCTCCTCCCTCTTCTTCCCCTTTTTCCTTAAAGTCGTGCACTTTGCCAGTATGTCAGAGCTTGGCGGTCTCGTTTTCTACGTCTAGACCTTATACTTACACGAGACAGCCCGGAGTGACTTAATAAACTTAACAGCAGCGCAGGGATGTCGTCACCCCTGCGCTAGCCTGTGATAGTAGTACTACGTCCATGGAACACCAACATAAAGGAGTTTATGGTCAAACTCGATCATCTCGATCAAAGGTCCAGCTTCATCTACCTCCCTGCGTGATCATGATCTAGTAACTTGACAACTACGAAGATCCAGTTAAACTTGAAGAAGATGCTGAGATCTTCACACCACAAGTTGTGTGAGGTGTTTAGAAGATGAAGATCCTTGTCTCAAAATTCTATCATGTGCCAGGATTTGCCTCTTGATGTTGATTCAGTTTCAGCTTGCTGCTGATTACTTTCTCGATCATCTGCTTCTGCTATGTAGAAAAAATCATCTTCCAGTTCCACCTTCATCAGAGTCAGATCATGAACATGAGAAAAGAATAAATATACACGTGAACAACTACAATGTCTCGAGAGCATAAGTAGCTTCTCTCAGGAAATTTTGAACAGAATAGAAGTTGTCTTGTCAAACTCAGTTTATACAAGTTAAAAAGGTTTCGTACTATCTGCACGTTCATCATCATCTCAACAAATTTCAAAACGCTCTAAAAATCGTCAAGAAGAAAACCTTTCCAAAAACATCATCTATGAATTCTAGCCCTGAAGAACCTTGAAAACACTTGAGTAGACGTTCAGCTTCTGTTTTACCCTAAATCTTGAAGTAGACACTTGAGTTTGCTTAGACGTTCATCTTCATCTACAACGTGAAATTTTACCCTAAAAAAAGCTTGAAAACATAACTCCAATCTTCGCTGGTGCTGCATAACTCCAGTTTAATCGAAAATGATGAAGATTCCATACGCATTTTTCTTGATGTTATTCTTTAGCCTGAGGGCTCAAACTGGTTACAGCGTGGTGCTTTTTCAGATGATGTCCAGCAGGCAAGCAGGAGCTCCAGCTTCGGCATCTTCCACAATCAATCCTCCAGATAATTCCTGGGAATACCAATGCATTGGTATGGCCTCAGGAAGGACACTCCCTGTGCAATTTGGACTCGCCAGAGGCTCAACTTCAGCAGCTGGAGCATCTTCTTCTGGAGGCTCAGCATCTTCTTCTGGAGGCTCAGCATCTTCAACGTCAAATAGGGTTCTGGATCCAAATGCGGCAACGGTTCGGGATTTCGCTGAAGCGCTCATGGAATCTGCACGAGCTGACCCGGGCCCAGATCCTTTGGCTATCGTCGAGAAAGGGGCTGACGCGCTCCACCTTATTTTTACGAAGAAAGACTCGTCGGGACGAGATCATGTACGACACTTGCGCCCAGTGATAGACAAAGATGCGAGCGAATACCTGTCGACGATAATGAAGATGGAAGATGACGATAGTTCTCTTCAGACCTTGAGCAGCACATGGACGTGCCAATTTTTGGTCATCCCTCCTGCCACGGACGAACAGCTGCAAAAGTTCAAGCAATTACTGACTCCGTTGGACCCAGCGCAAAAATTCTGGCTCAACCGAATTGATACGGACGTACCCCCGCGTGTGCGCTTTATTGTCGCTGCTACCACTCAGGCGTTCGAGCTGCAAAATGCACACGCTCTTAGCCACGCGGAAGAAACGCTCAAAAACGATAAAGCGCTCGTGCTTGAGGCGGTCAAGAAAAATGCACGTGCTTTTGAATATGCGAGTGAACAAAGCCTGAAGAATGATAGGGAAGTCGCGCTTGCGGCAGTCAAGCAAAATGGATTCGCTTTCAATTTTTTGAGCAAGACGCTGCAAAACGACAAGGAAGTCGCGCTTGCCGCAATCCAGTATAAAAGAGGATTCCTTTTCCCGAAAGTGGGTAAACCACTGAAGAAGGATAGGGAGTTCGTGCTTGAGGCGGTCAAGGCACATCCGCGTGCTCTTGGGTGGGCGCATGATACCTTGAAAAACGACAGAAAACTCGGGCTCGAGGCCATTAAGGTAGATGCTTTAGCTCTTCAGTATACAGGAAGGGAGAGTCCGCTGAGAAACGACAAGGAGGTCGTGCTTGAGGCAGTCAAGCAAAATGGGGATCTTATTGTATTATATCCAATTTTGACTGCTACTTCACCGTCATCTAGATTCTTACTTTTAATTGTTTTCTTCTACTAGTTTTCTTATTCATGTCCACCCCGTCTTAATTTCTTGTCTTCAGCTTTATCTTGTCCGTGGTAAGAGACTTGCGTTAAAAAGTAGCACATTCGACATCATGTCGGCCTCTGCCTGCCATCGAGCTCAAGTGGTATCCCGTTTACCCGAGGTGCATAAAAACCGGCGAGCCTTCGGGGGCCATCAAAACCGAGTTGCGCACCAAGTGTTAGGGATTGGGCTACGATAAAACTTGCTGGGATTTGAGTTTTCCGGGAGCGAGCCTTCTTCGCTGGGACTCGTCGAGTTCTCGGGGAGCGAGCCTTCTTTGCTGGGATTCGAGTTTTTCGGGAGCGAGCCTGTTTTTATGGATTTAGACGTAGCTTAGCCTCACCGAACATTTATCGTTTTTTGCTTCTGCAAGTACCTTACTCATTTATTTTTCATGGACGGCAGGAGGAATTCTCAATCACGATGATGCACTTTGGTTGCTGGGGCCACGTCCCCCAGCAACAAGATCCATATATGATCTTCTGGGTGTTATTTAACTCTAGTGTCCCTGCCGATCCTTCCACAAATTTGTATGAGTGGTTGTTTAGCTAGCCAACACTTTGCTAGAATTCGCCTCCTATATCCATCACGGTTTATGTGCGCTTAGATAGGTGGCTCTGCGAGCCCGCGCTAGCTTTTCTACAAGGCAGGCCACGCCCCTGTTCTTTGGATTTGCTTGTAGCTTCGGGCCATCTCCCCGATTCAAGTCACGCGGCGGTGCACTTGTAGACAGTAGACAACAAAAAAAAAAATTTTGCAATTCGCGAGCGAAGAGCTAAGAAACGACAAGGAGGTCGTGCTTTTGGCAGTCAAGCAAAATGGGGATCTTTTGCAATTCGCGAGCGAAGAGCTAAGAAACGACAAGGAGGTCGTGCTTTTGGCAGTCAAGCAAAATGAGAGTGCTCTTGGGTTCGCGTCTCGGACCCTGCAAAACGACGCAGATTTCCAGCGTGAGGTCTCCGTAGCTCTTGCACTTTGATGGCCATCCCGGTCTTTTCTATTTGTAACAGATTAGAATGAAGAAGATTTTCGACTCGACCCCTTGACTCCTGGATCAGGCGCCAACCCAGACCACCAAAGGCGCTGGAATCAGAGTAGTAGCATACTCGCGAAGTACAAAAGGCCTAAAAATAGACGGCGCCAGAAGACCTAACCTAGAAGCCGTCTACAAGTGGAAGCCGGTCTAATTCTAGGAAGTCCAGTATAATTCACTCCCCTCCCAGGATTAGTTGCGGCTTCCACTTGTGGACTATATTAATATAGCTAGACCCCATCATCCTCGACCCATCATTAACATTATCTTTGGTAGATTAAAAAAAGAATGAAAGAACCCTTCTGATCTAATTTATCTATTTATATAATTATAATGGTGAAAGTGAAACAGAAATCACACAAGAACATAACTGAATTTTCCTGAGTCAGTTGAAGTTTACTAAGTTGGCTAAAATTGTTATTAATATAATGGGTGCCATTAGCATTATGGACCAACGGGCATCGCCATCGTGCATAGAAAATCTGAGGAAATTTGAAAAAAATACGAGAATGATTTGAAGATCAGGCAAGAACTGAACGTGAACGGCGAAGACTTTGATTTGATTTGATGAAAAATGATAAAATGCGGACGGACAACAAAAAGTTGCTCTAGAGAATGTTCAGCCCACCACTTTTCTCGCTCATTCTAGTTCTTAAAGATCGTCCCCCTCCACTCATTCTCTCTTTGCAGTTTCAGATGTACCCCTGGATTGGGTTAACTACTACGACTACTACTACTAACTACTACCAGATCGTAGCCCGTTACCGTTTTGACATACCTCATCGGTCTGCGCCGACGTGCTCAACATTATTCATTATTGATGTGGCTGTGAGTTCCTCAGCCGTCATGTCCGTGTACTGGTGTCGGTGGCTTCCTCAGTCATCATCTATCATCTGTAATCGTGGTCTCAGAGTTCCTGAAATCGGTCACTGAATCTGAACATCAAGAAGAGAGACCGAGACACAGCAGTTTTATATAGTTAGACAAGACCACACATCATGATCTTCATTGTTGAAACATCATGATTATTAACCAAGTGAACTATGCAGTTTGTAGAAGAATTATAGACACACACATCAGATGTAATTGAGAGATCTTCATGGAAGATTTGTCGTTCGTACTTCGCCTATGATGATCCACTACCACCTTCTCCCATCTCCTGACTAAAGGCCGCTAGATAGAAGACGTCCTCGTCCTAACATAGAAGTCCACTGTAAAATTTTTGATTTCTGTTGCAATTTTGGAAATACAACTGCTCCTTCAAGGCCGCGGCCTGTACATTTACTAGTTCATCTTTCGTCGTCTTCTTCTTCGTCCTCTCAATAATCTTCTCTAGGCGTGGGCGTCTCAATGGAATAGACTACCGACGGACGACCTTCTCAGTAGTTGAACTACCGTGGTTTACGTGTTGAGCTATTTTTGTCCTTCTCAGTAGTTCTTCTAGACTAGAACTAGTTGTTCTTGAGTCGATCAACAGCAGGAAACAAGTCATCTTCATCATTTTGGTTCTGAGCCTAAAAAACAGCCGATACGACCAAGAATGAAGAAGACGGCAGGAGTTGTACCAGCGGTTAAGAACGGCACCAGCAAGAGCGGCTGCAAGAAAAGCGCGAGCAGGAGCTTGGTGAACTTCACGGTGTCCAAGGAGATGAAGCAAGTGAGCAACCGACCAGCACCGAATGTGTTTCGGACGACGGTCTCTGTGGGAGCAGCGATACGGTCTGACTTGGGGTTTCAACTTGCTTTTCTGATGCAGGAGGAGAACAGGGCGATCTTTTCAGAGAAGAACGACGCAACAACGAAAAGGAGCTCCTGCTCTCGTCCTCCTATGATTACCACTGTCAACCCGCATAGCTTTGCGGCTTCACGAGGTCTCAGATCTGGGGATTCTTTGCTCGAAATCGATGGAAAAAGTGTGGCGCAGTTTATCTCGTTGTCGGCGATAGAAAAAGCCTTGAAGGAAAAGAGACCGGTATTTATTGAACTTTGCTAAAAACGACACACTTGCACTTGGAGTTGCTTAATGTTTAAATTGTTTCTGCTGCACTTCAAGTTCAAAGAGTGGAAGATACTAGAATGATGTTGTTGACCTTAAATATAAATCATAATCATCATCTACCTAGTACAAAAATTATAGTATGCAGCAGGTTAAGCTAGTCTTTCAGCAGCAATCGTTGCCTCGTGAGGAATTGCGAAGGCGCTTGCGACTTCTAGGACATCGAACTTCTCACCTACTGGGATTCAAGAACGAGGAAGAGCAGACTCAGACTCGGACAAGAACTACTAAAACGACTGTACAACTGGTGAAGCAGGAGGAAGCCACGAAAGATACAACAGCCGCGAGGTTTCTCTTTTACGGAGGAGGTTCGGACGAAGAAGATGAACTAGTACGAGGAGTCGATCATATCATGACAACTACATCAAGAAGAAGAAGCGTTCCTCCTACCTCTAGAAGCGTAGGCACGGATGAAGCTTCCACTAGGAAATCAAAGTTAATAGCAAATCTCCACGTCTCATCGCAGCTTGAGTCAGAACCTCCGGTACATCAGAACAAGGACGACGACGAACTACATGCATTCGGAGAGCAAGAGCAGAGTGGCACAAGTCCATTTGACGAGTTCTTGGACCTATGCAACAGCACCTTTGACGCTGGCGCATCCTGTTGTATCTTACCGCAAGACTCTACTGCGTATGAAAGATCAACGGAGATAAGACCAAGAACTACTATAGGAGAAGGAGATGGACTAGCTACATCAATAACTATAGGACGAGAAGGAGGTCACGCTCGCGGTCATCTTGGAATGAACAAGAAGAAAGGAGGCAAAACACGAGAAGGAGACTTGTTGTCGTCTCTGGGTTTAGCAGCTGGATCGTCCTCATCTTCGAGAAATCATAGAATCTCGCAGATCTGCTCAAGAACCGCAGAGCAGCACCTTCCACCAAATCCGAGAGCAAGCACGACTTCTACCCGACGTGTAACAGATGAAAAGAGCAGCAAGAAAAGTAACAAGAACTCCACCACAAACCCTGAGCTCCTGCAAGATTTGCAAATCTCGGCAAGAGACCGATCATGCTCATCCGTTGAAGGTAGCCGCAGCTTATCCTCCTCACATGATAGCCATAGTCGTTCTTTGCACCAGTCGCAGTCTTCCCAGGGGGAAGATGACTTATTTGCTTCTATCCTAGAACGCGAACTGATAAAACGAGGCATCGTGGAGGTAGAGGACCGCATCAACAAAACGCTAACCTACAGGCTGTCTTCAACTGCAGAGGTAGCACGAAGAACAAGGAATACAGGAGTCAGTACTTATAGGCTGTCGGAAGCCACATCTTCAGAGAAGAACAAGAAGAACGAGTTCTGCAGGTTCTCCTGGAAGAGAAATAATATTAACGGAAAGGCAGAAGATATAGATACAGAAGAAGATCCAGAAGCAGAAGTAGCAGAAGAAATGACTCTTCAAGATATTCATTCAGACGCCGAAGACGTTAGTCGCCGATCTTCATATCATCAGGTTGATGTAGAAGGAGGACAAAAGGAAAAGGTTGTGCTTCATGCGAAAAATGATGAAGGTACAGCGCATCTGGAGGAAGCATTTGTTGATGCAGATGTGCGTGAAAAGGGTACAACGAATAAAGCACAGCCAGAAACTAGGGACAACACTTCTTCCTCTAGTACTGCTAACACATCTACAACGAGGAGAGGACCTACTGCTACTAAAGTAAGCAATGCAACTAGTACTGCTCCGAATAGAGTAGAGGCGCAACAAGATGAACAACAGTCTGCGTTTTTTACTCTTACAACTGCATCCCCAGTTCACCTTGTGGATATCTATACCATTAAGGAGCTTCTTCATTATGATTTCGTCGCGGATAAAGAAGCTACTGGAGCACGACAGGAGAGGTTGGCAGAATCTGAAGACCAGCTCGCCGCTGATCATTATAGGCAAACCGTAGGAGAATATGCAGATGAACGAGAGGAGAAAACTGCAGCGTATCCTGGCGAGCAGCGCGCCTCAGTTGCTGCACGAGACTCCACAGCAGCAGAACGAGTCCAGCAGGAGAGGGCTCCTGTGCATCCTGATCAGCATCAACAAGCACCTGGTGGACGTGTCTTCGTGGAAAGAGAAGCTGCTGCAGGAGATGGGCGAGAATCAGTCGTGAGCGATAAACGGGGTCAGAAAAGTTTCGACCCTGAGAAGCGAAGAGCTTCTGATGTCGAAATGGTAAACGAACAAGCTGCAGCAGCGGAACGAACGAGTCAGCAGAGTTTGTATCGTGAGGACCAGTACACCTCTGTTGTTGTACGACACTCAGACCCAGGCGCAGATGAACGAGGCCAAGAGATAGAGGATCCTGATCAGCATATTGGTGCTGCAGCTGATGTAGTTGATGTGGCTTCACCAGAGCGGGGCCAAAAAAGTTTGTATCAATATGATGAGGAATTTGAAACTCCACATCAAGGGCAAGAATGGTCTCTCAGAGGCCCAACACTGTGTCCGGATATCTTGGTGGAATTTGAAGATGCTCGTTCTGGAGCGCTCGATGAAGGCCGCCGTTCTTCGGCAAGCAGCGCGCCAGCGCGAAATGATGAGCGCGAAATGCCTTCTGCGGGCGGCGCTTTAGCACCAGATGTAGGCCGCCGATCTTCAGCAGCACGACCAACAGTAGGCTCCTTCGTCATTGAGATTGATCACCCCCAAGGTGATGAAGGTCCTTCAGTAGAAGCAAATTCTCAAGCTCAACAAATACAAGAAATAGAGATGTCATCTGCCTCCTCTCCTGTTGCTACAAGAACATCTGCAGTTCCAGGTTCTAACAATAGCCCTAACTACGTCAATCGCGAGCTTTTGCATGACGTAGAGGCTGGCTCGACTACAGGCACATCTTACCAAGTAGCTGCACACGTCAACGTTGTTCTTAGTGATGGGGACGAGGATGGGGGTAGCACTATCGCTGACACGCTTGTCGATACAGATCTAGAGACTATACCTCCTACTTCTTCTGTTGAACAACATCAAGAGACTAGGCGTGAACAAGAGACCACTAGGCGTCCTACTTCCTTACTCACTGAAGTAGCAGTAGGAGTAGTTCAAGAAGAGACCACCCTACCTGCGGATTTTGTTACAAATACTTCCGAACTACGTCAAGCTCAAGAGGACGATACAACTAGTAATAGTACTGATATACCTTCTGCAGCCCAAGAAGATGCTGCTTCTTCTGAGCGACAAGAGACGATACCTGAACCAGAGGACGCTCTGTCTGATTCACAGAGAACAATCCCGCTAGTTGTACCTGAGGACGCGGATTCCGTTACTTTTCCTGAGGCTGAAAAAGCTTCACCTTCAGAGGATAAAAGAATAGAGGCCTTGGTGCTTGAGCACGAGGAAAAACTGCAGACTGCAGTGCGTAACTTGACAAAGTCTGTAGTACGTGAGCAAATGGTTCTTGCCTCTCCTGTTATGCGTGATCAAGAGGAGGTGAGTACCAGTACTAGTAGAGGCAGACAACCACGCCTATCTCAGCAACTAGGGCAAGGAAAGCTGAAGGATCTTCTGCGTCACAATACTCTCAAACGCAAAGAACAAAGTCTTCAAGTCGAGCGGCCACGGACCTCCTACGCGCGACCAATTCGCCTCTTCACACCCGCAAGTCAACGGGAGCAAGAGGAGCAAGCGACTAGAACAACTTCTTCCACGGTGCTAATCGAACGCACATCTACAACTTCAACCATGATGAAAGACAAAGTCAGGGACGTTGATATAAATATTCGAGATTCTTCGGTTCCATCTCGATCACCTTCCTTGTTAAGAAAAGACTCAACAAGGAAATCATTAACGCCGAAGCAATTCGAAGCGGATGAACCCCCTGAAGAACATTCATCGGAGTTGCCAAAACCTCTGCTAATGAGGGAATTTGTAATCAGAAGATCATCAAGGTCCTCGTTGCCCGGCTCAGCCTCGGTCTCGCAGCATGGACAAGATATTCCTGGAGCATCAATCAAGTGGCGGTCCTCAAACAAGATCTCGGAGCATGAAGTAGTAGATAAAAGACCTGCTGATAGAACATCTTCAAGGTCGCCGTTCTCGGAGCATGAAGCGAAAGATGTGCTGAATATGGTACCTCCGTTCTCGGAGCATGAAAATACTGCTAGTAGAACATCAAGGTCGCCAGCATCGGTCGTCCTGGTCCCACACAAGCACCAGACGAGAGCGTCAGCTTCATCACGTTCTCGAGATGAGCAAGAACAAGGCCACAACGATGCTGTTGAAGGTATCAAGCTTGAAAATCGTCAAGAAAAAGAGCTCAGTCTTCTGGGTCGTTCTCCACAATTTGTGCAAGCCGTTCCAAGAATTACAACTATTTCTGCTACAGAACCAGAAGCGGACCATGCCACGACACGGACCCGGATAAGAGGCTCGAAGTCTTCAGAAACTACTGTTTTTTCAGGAGCCACAAGAGACTCGACGTCAAAAACTAGTGGCGTTCCTGCAGGGACAGGCGAAAATGCTGCCGCCAGGGCCTCTGCGTCAAAAACCAGTATTTCTCTAGTCAACACTGGCGGCGCCAGAGCCTCTACGTCAAAACTTACTACTGCGCCAGGAACAACAGGGCCAGGAACTACTAGAGTCTCGTCGTCGAAGACTATTTTTCCTATTGCTGATGCAACGGTAGGAACGGGATTGGACGTTGCCACCAGAGTTATTGCTGATGCAGCGGTAGGTGTAGGAACGGGATTGGACGTTGCCACCAGAGTTATTGCTGATGCAGCGGTAGGAACGGGATTGGACGTTGCCACCAGAGTCTCGAGGTCTTCAAACACTACTTGTATTCCTCTAGCTACCGTGCCCAAACCGAGAGCCTCAACTACATCAAAAAAGTCATCTCCACAACGTGCGAGCAGGAGTATTCTTGCCGTGCTCGCGTCACAATTAGAAGACTTCAATGCGCGTTTGAGTACTGCAATCGAAAACACCAATGGGGAAGTCGAGGAGGAGGGGGAGGAAGATGAAGAGAAACTGGAGAGTGTTGCATCTGAAGTGAAAGAACATTCTCCAAACAAGGAGCCAGCTTCTCAACCAGTTGTAGAGCTGTGGCGTTCATCAGTTGCCCGTAATGACGAGCAAGGCGTCGGAGTCGTGGAATCAAAGCGACCTTCTTCATCGAGGAATGATCAAGTAGAACTAGAAGTCAACGTCCAGTCAAGTAGAACATCTGCCAGGATCATGAATGATGATTTCCGCGTTGCAGACATCACGGAGAGGCTTGCCCGCCGTGAGAAGTTACTGTTACATCAACAACAAGTAGAAGATCTGCTACGACCTTCAAGGACGTCGAAAAATAGCGGCGACATCAAGAAGAAAAGGAGCACAACGCCAGTTCTCTCCACAAAGACTTCTTCTGACAGAGATAACAATAAGATGAGGTTAAAACTACCGTCACGCGTTGTTCTCGAGAACAAGTCAACATACGAGGACCACGTTTCTAAACGACACCTTCTATTGAGAAGTTCCTCACCCGGACGAACGGGGGAAGAGCTTTCGAACGTCGTTCAGGTGAGTAAGGGCCAGTATCGTAGTCCACGCAGTGTTAGCGTTTCTCCGAGAAGTGTAAGAAAAGTAGTCTCAGCTGCATTAGCAGGAGCTCGTCCTGGTGTTGTTGGTGGAGTTGCTGAAGTACAAGAAGATGCTGAGAAACGCAGACCACTCTTAGACGACGAAGCTGAGTACTATCCTTTTTCAGCCAAGCTACGGAATAGCACATTTGCGGCACCTACTTTTTCATCGAGGAGTAAGACTTCAACCAAAAATGGAGGAGAGGACACTCCGAGGTCTGGCCAAGGGGGCGAAGAGGGTGACACCAGAAGTCTCACCAGTGTTACTTCATCGCGACCTCCTCGTAGTCTGTCTCCTAGTTTGTCACCTGGTGACGTGGAGAAGTTAAAACTACAAGGACTTGGAGATCAAGTAGGCGGTTTTGAATTCTCTCCAGTACTTCGAAACAGCACTTTCACAGCGCCTACTTTCAGTTCCAGAAAGAAGACGATGCTGAATGCGACGCGGAACAAGAATGTTGATTCAATTATAGTACTACAGCAGGATCATGGCGGAATGAGCAGTCTTGGTTCATCTCGACGTGGACCTGCTGGACAGCTCCTTTGTGGTGGAGGCGAAGAACAAGAAGCAGATAATGTTGGAACAAATATTACTCCACGTAGTCGTAGCCGTAGTCGTAGTTTGTCTCCTGGTACGACCGATGCTGAGAGAGACCTGGAGGTGAGAAGTAGAGACGAAGAAGGCGCTACTCGTTTCTCTCCAAGATTGCGGAGTAGCACCTTCACAGCGCCTACCTACAGCTTTTTCAGGAAGATGCGGAGTTGCTCTCCTTCGTCTGTGGACGAAAGATTTTCACCTGGTGGCAATAAGGACAGGCCACGAGGAGCCACTGTAGGAGTTGCTCCTGCAAAAATCACATTTGTGGATCGTGGAGGACCACTAATGAATGAGCAACTACATGGAGGAGGACTAGAGGAACAGCAAGAAAGACTACTAGAGGTGGACCACGAGCAAGAAACTACTAGTTGTAAGAGTAGTAAGATATCAACGAGAACTATAGGTAGGACTGGGAGACCACCTGTATGGGACGAAAATTTTGCAACATCTTCTGCGAACGATGAACAAAGCACCCGTGGTAGGGCAACAACATCAACTAGTAGAGCCCGTGCGAGCACACAAGCTGGTTTGGAACGACTAGAGCGCCTGCTCAGGAAGCATTCTCGCGTCGACCGTAGTTCGAGGACACGGAAATTTGTGCAAGAAATGCAAGAGACAGTATCTCAAATAGCTGATTTGGCGCTGCCAGTGACAGGATCCAACATATTAGCGGAACCTCCGGGGAGATCGGGAAGCAGCACTAGAGTTTCTCAAGAAAGAAAAAACCAAAGTCGTGAAATTGAAGATAGTCTCCGCACACGAAGCTTTGTCGCGAATTTGCGAGGAGGTGCTAGTAGGAGTGGTGGTGAAGTGGAAGACGAGGAGAAGTACGCGGTCGTGGCGCTTCCAAGAAGACAGAGCCAGAAGACTACTAGAAAGTCGAAGAGGAAAAGTTCTACGGCAAGTTCCGAGAACGATGACAAAGCAGAGGTGGCACGAGCAGATCGGTTCACGCTTGTCTTTGACACTCTGGAAGCCCTTGCTGGGCAGGGGGCAGGGACAGGTGTTGGAGATGCAACGAACAGAAACGCTGAGGCAGGGTCAGAAACTCCACCCCAGGACAGAAATACGCTAGATAACGATAAGGAGGTACAACGACGCCAGAACACTAAGGAGAATTCATCTTCACCTAAATCTAAACCCGTCTTGCACAGCACTACGACCGCATTGGAGCGGCGACGGAGACAAAAAGATGATCTTCACTCAGGAACCCCGAGTCCAACACCAAGAATCGTAGCGAAGCCTAAGGTTGTGAAGAAAGGTGCAACAGCATTTGGAGGATCCCTCGCTCTGCCATCGCGACGACCCATTAACCAGAGAATGGCAGTCTTTGACAGGGTGAAGACCACATCAGGAAGAAGTGCACGAGAGCGAACACCTGCTACTAGAGGGGCTGTTGTACTACCAGATCCAGAGCGTCCGCGTCCTGCTTCGCGACTACATCCTGTTGGTTCTCCTGGTGAACATGATAGCCCACAGCCACGGGTGGAAAATGGACCTGCACATGATGCGGTGAAACGAGAACATGGAGAGCTTCATCAGCCTACTCAAAGTCCCAGAAGTGGCGGTGTCTATGGATCATCGACCTCTAGTCCGACTCGTCCTAGAAAACTTAGTCCGGAAATTGAAAGAATGATCAACAATCTTCATAAAGACAACTCCAGAAACCGAAACGGGACTAAGAACGGTTTCATCAAGGCTGAGAAAAATGCGGGTAATCGATGGCTCAACACTACGAAGAATTATCAGCTGTCATCACCTCCTGTTCCTGATAAAAGTGCTTCAGCTTCATCACCTTCTGTCCCTAGTGTGTCAAGAAGTCCGATGCAGCGGCAGGCAGGAGAAGGGGAGGCGTCGCCAACACCTCGAGGGGACAACATGTTGTATTTTCAGGATCAAGCCATGATGTTCGTGGTAGAAGATGAAGAAGAACTACATCAACAAGTAGAAGATACTAGAACTACAAGAGCAAGTAGAAGATCATCTGGCCGCCGTTCTTCATCCCGTGTTAGCTGCAAACATGATAAGAAAAATAAACGGGGTAAATACCCCAGCACGGCTCCTGCTGCCCAGGTGACATTGAATCTTTACGAAGATGAGACTGATTGACGGCGAGGATGAACTACACACTTGAGACTGATTGACGGCGAGGATGAACTACACACTATTTACTTATATATTTTGACCAAGAAAAAACTTATATATTTTGACCAAGAAAAAGAAAAACTTGTTGATGTATCTTGCGAACAAGAACTCCAAGAACACGATGAATGTGATGAATCAAATTCAAATCGTTGCCTTGTTTGACGTTCTTGAGACATGCTTGAAGAAAGTCTGGAAAACTCTGCTCGTCTGTTGCTCGTCTGTTCCTAGACCTTCCGGAGGTGTGTTCAATGTTCAATGTTCTTTGCATGAATTTAGAAGGCCTCCGCGGTATCTTCATATTCCTGTCGAATCACAAAGACCATGTGGTCCTGGAATATGAACAGGATCAAACACGTACTTGCACATTTTCGTCTTCGACTTCGACTTCTGTCAAAATGATGAAAATGATCTTCTGAAATTACATCTCCTCACAGTCCTTTTCCAGAATCCAAAAAATCCAAAAAAAAAAATGAATTACTTTTATCATCTGAAGATGATGCGCAGAAGTTTACTGTCTTTATTCATCTGTTGGCGTGTTGGGCTTGGGTGGCTGCGAATTCTGGTGCCTACCAGCCTCAATTGAAATCTATTCCTTCATCGCTTACAACTTGAGCAGTAGTTTCAACCATCTTCTACTTCTAAATTACAATTTAACATGACTTGCTTCCATGATACTCCTGGTGCCACCTCCTAGATGAAAATGGAAATGGAAATGGGTTGTTGGTTCCTCCTACTTAGTTGGTTCGACCAAGTCACTCCCCATTTTCCCCATTTAAGTAAGTTGTACTGTCACTGTCTCATCTCGTCAATGATTGAGGATAATGATCTTTAAGTACCTGTCAACAAGTCGTAATGGCAGTAGAAGAAATACTCATCGCTCTTTACCATCTCATTCTCAAAAAGCTGCTATACAGGAGGATTCTAGGACAGGAGAATTCACTGAGTGGCTAGACAACATGGCATTTGCGGAGGAAGCTGTATGTCAATATGTTGAGAAAATGAAAATGGTCGTCTTAGCTACTCGTATTAGAATTACAACAAGAAACAACAACATAATATTCTTCACGTACTTCTAGACTCGCCGATGTTCGCAATTCATTCATTTTCATAGATACACACAAAATAATTTAACGACTAATTCTTCTTCTTGATACATCAACGAGTTAAAACAACAAGCACCTCCCAGTGTTTCTTCTCTTACGTTTAGAATAAGCATAAGGCCGTGTTCGTTTTGTACGTGGACCCCCCCATACATAGAAGTGCCTCTCTTATCTAAGTATATTTTTTGATTGATTTCCTTTTCCAGTTCCACTGTTTCTGTAGTTTACTAAAAATCAACGAAGAACAAGATCACAAAGATGGCTGCCGCTACGTTGCTTGCAGATGAACGTCCTGAGGAGGAGGAGGAGAAACAAGACCTCGAACAGATCCTGGAGGGCAAAAATAAAGAAGAACTCCTAGCTGCACAGACAGCTAAAGTTATGGCTTCACGAAATCCATCTCTGGAACTGGACATAGACAAGTAGACCGACCCTTCAACCGAAGTATATCATAGATGAGTAGATCCGTCAACCGAAGAAGTATATTAAGGGTACCAGCATATGGGCGTATTTGTAATTGTTATTGACGGATGATCTCCAAAGGGATGGACTAGGGACAGCGCTAATAGAGCCCTCACTGGCTTGAGCAAAGAAGGAGACCAACATAAGCGAGACCGCAGTCGTCGTAGAGAGCGCGATCGTGGACGCGACCGTGACAGAGAACGACGTGGTGACGATGACAAAGATAAAGCTAAAGATCGTGATCGTGGACGTGATCGCGGACGTGATAGAGAACGAGAAAAAGAAAAAACTGCATCCAAAGACACTACTTTAAGCGGTGGAGCTGGTGGTGCTGATGCAAAAACTAACGGTGACGCTGCGGGAGCTGCTGGGGACGACAAGAACAAGAAAAGTGAAAAAGATAGGGATCGAGAACGAGACAGAGACAGGAAAGATCATAGAAAGAGAAGTAGAGACCGTGAACGGGATCGTGATAGAAAGAAAAAAGAAGGCGATCGTGATCGGGACACGAAGCGAAGGAAAGTAGATGAAAAAGATGGAACAACAACTATTCCTGCTCCTATTTCAAATGGAGCTGCTCCAACACTTACAGCAGGGACTACTACGACTACCACAGCAGGCCCAACTACAGCCTCCACATCAAGTCCAGATGATCCTACGAAAGCTACCACAACGACCACTACTACCACAACGACTGCTGCTCATGCTCCTATCGTCCGTACTAAGAGAACCGAAGAATTGCTGGCAAAACTAAAAGCTAAGAAGGAAGAAGCGGCCAGACAAGCTGCTTTGGAGGCAGCTGGAGTGGCAGGAGGAACACCTGCTACACCTGGGGAACCGGTAGAGAGAAATGACGGCCCTTCCGTCGAGCGCATGCAAGAGATGATGATGCCTGATGGCGGCTTGCCGGGATTGGCCTTTCTGCCAGAGGTAATCGACGACAACGACGCAGTGGGACAATTGGTCAAAGGACTTTTGCTATGAGAAGATGTACTAATTTGTTTCCGAATATTACAAGTTACAATTTGCTAGAAAATTATTTTCTCATCACCTCCTCCTCCCTCCCGTCCCCCCCTCTAAGCTACGAAGAGGAAACGAGCAATAAGCCGCAGGTAGTGGAGATCCCAAGTGCGAGTCAGGCGGATGCGTTGAAGGTGATCACTTTGGATGACATCATGGCTGGAAATTTCGATAAGTACGATGCCATCTATATGAACCAACCGACCAAGAAAGCTCGCGGTGGAAAAGACGAGGATGAGAGCGGCCGATACCTTGTTGGCGGACCCGGAAGGAAGAGCACTGGCGGTCGCACTTCTGCTGGTGGCGATGAAAATAGGGATGGAACGGACGGAACAACGGGTGCGTCTCCAACGTCTAAAGGTGCCGGAAATCAGCAGGAAGCGAAGACCTCCGGTGTCACTATGATGAGTGGTGCACAAGCAGCAATTGACAGTGTGGTGAAGAAGACGACTGGGGAGGACGAGAAGAAGGGACGAGAGGAAGGTGAAGTTGGTGCCGAAAAAAAGACCACTGCCGAAGGAGATTCTGCAGCAACTACAACAGGAGAAGATGCTTCTACGACTAATAATGCTGGCGCGAATGGCAATCTAGGCGGAGCTCCTCCTTCTCCGAGGAACAAAGGTACAACTTCTTGTCCAAACGGCACCACCAGCACCACTTCCACTGCCACAACAGGCAACAACCCCTTCAAAAATGCACCCTGCTCATCTTCAGCTGTTGGAGAAGACGAGGAAAATTTCGACATCCTCACTATCAAGGTTGCCAAGACTCGCGACGAAGACGAGGCTGAGACTAAGGAGAAGAACAGTTTCATGGCGCAAATGAGCAAGTTTTTAGCCGCTGATCAACACGCCAAAGCAGCAGTCGCGGCGAACCCGAATTTGCATGGTATTGCGGAATCTAGTCGTGGCGTCTACATCGAACAAGAGGAAGACTTGCAGGAAGACGAGGATGAGTTGGCGGCTGAGATCGCAGCGATCGAAGAACGGGAGAAATTACTCAAGTTATGGTGCTCTTGACAAGAAAGCGCAATGTGATCTGGGTACTTAGTTTGAAGGATCTATCTGATCTGGGTACTTGGTAGGAGCTCTTGTTGAGCATATTTTTGTCATGTTGTCTATAATCACTCCCCCATTGTTCATTGTCTGGGAGGTACTTGTCAATTGATGATAATTTGATCGTCTACTTCTTGTTGCCAGCACTTATGGCAGCTATGAATCTTCAAGTTTGATAATTTGATCGTCTACTCGTTGCCAGCACTTATGGCAGCTATGAATCTTCATCTTCTAATCATCGAGGAGCGTGAGAAAGCCGAGGAGGCCGCATCGCGCATGCCCAAGGCTTATACGGATGCGATGGTCGTTGGCCCCCAGCTACCCAAGAAGACCGGCGGGAAGCAGAAGGAGACTTCCTCCGAACTCAATTCCAAAGGAAAGCTGAAGAACATCCAGGGCAAAACCTACGCTGAGTTACAACTTCTCTTCACCGAGCGAAAGGAGTTGCCACGCGTAGACCACAACAAGATTCAGTATTTGAAGTTCGAGAAGGATCTCTATACGCCAACAGCGGAGATTGCAGCTATGAAGGAATTTGAGGTTGCGAACTTGCGCAAAGTGAACAACGACATCCGTTTGGCCGGTAAAGAACCGCATCCGAGACCAGTCCGTAGTTTCTACCAATGTGGTTATCCTAAAGAGTTACTCTCCATGCTGGAGCGTCGCGAGATCGAAGTACCGTTTCCAGTGCAGATGCAGGCTATGCCCTGTCTCTTGTCTGGACGCGACGTGATCGCTTTGGCTCCAACGGGAAGCGGAAAGACGTTGGCGTACTTGCTGCCGATGCTGAGACACATTAAAGCCCAACCACCGGTGAAGCGCGGAGTTGAGGGACCGATCGGTCTGGTGCTGGCTCCGACACGAGAACTTGCGAATCAGATTTTCAAAGAGGTACAAGAACTTCTCAAATTTGTTTACATTTTGTTGATTTACAAATATATGAATCCAACTTCCAAATCGTCCTCATCCAAATCGTCCTCCTCTCTTGTTCTGTTCCTACATGATGATCCAACAACATGAAACTGAAACAGTCCGAACGCGCTTCGAGTTACGTGAACTGCATTGCCTGCGCTGCTATTGGTGGGCACCCCATTGGCGGTCAGTTGGGACCCATCAGACGTGGTTGCGACTTGATCATTGGCACACCAGGTCGTTTGATTGACATCTTCTCCCTGTCCAATGGCAATATTACGAATCTAAAACGGGTCTCCTTCATCGTGGTGGACGAAGCAGATCGCATGTTGGATCAGGGTTTCGGACCGCAAATTTCCGACTTCCTGAACAAGACGCAGCCTAAGAAACAGCTAGCGATGTTTTCCGCCACGTTTCCACCCGCAGTGCAGGAGATCGCGAAGAAGTACTTGAAACGGCCCTTGCAGATCAAGATCGGCTCCGAAGGCGTCGCTTGTGACCGCATCAAACAGTACGTCGAGATTGTGCTCGCGGAGAAGAAGCTGTTCGCTCTACTACGGCTCTTTGGTCAGTGGGCGCAGCATTCGAGTATCATCGTCTTCGTCAGAGAACGACAAGATGCTGACGCCTTGTTCAAAAAACTGTTGGAGTACCAGTACCCGGCGTTGATGTTGCACGGAGGCGTAGAGCAGGGGGATCGACAAGGCGTGATCAAGGACTTCCTCTTGGGTGAGAAGGATCTGGAAGCGAAAGCAAACATACTGATTGCTACAGGCATCGCAGCGCGTGGTCTCGACACGAAATGCAAATGCGTCATCAACTTCTCGGTACTAGTAAATGAAGATCTTCGCTTTCTTGTGTTCTTTTACTCGTGAAGATTTCCTTCATTCTCAACTTGAAGATGTTGATATCGTCGAGGCCGTCATAATTGATGACTGATACTGACCACTACTAATATGATGAACTTCTAAGTAGTAGTAGTATTGGTAGATGGAATCTTCAGTCAAACATCCACATCCACTATTTACTACCTAGAATACAGGTCCCCGACAACAAGGAGGATTACGTGCACAAGATTGGTCGAACGGGTCGTGGTGGAGGGCGTGGTGTCGCCTATACCTTCATCACTCCTGGCGAAGCCGATCGTGCTCAGATGCTGATCGATGTTCTCAAGTCTTCCCACCAAGATGTCGACCAACGCCTGATCGATCTCCAAGAAGGCTATCAACTGCAGGTAAACTCTGGCCAGGTGGCGCAAAAACGTGTGTATTCCGGCTACTCTGGTCGAGGGTACAAGTTCGGCAAGGACGAGGTTGGGCAAGAAGCAAAACGGAGGAAAGACTACAAGACGGAAGCTGGGATCATCGACGACAAAGTACGACGTAAGAAGGAGTTCCTGGACGGCTTTAAGGAGAATGCTCTGGCAGAAGAGCAGAATGAAATGCAAATTCCCGACGCACAAACAACCGGCACAACGGCCGTTGAACCTAGTGCAGGAGTTACTGGTGACGCTGCAACGACTAAGGAGGATGGGGAGAACAAGGATGGAAGAACTGCTGCAGGTGAAGATGGTACAGCAACTGCAGCGACAGCTAACGAAACTACTGCGTCTGCGGCTACTAGTGCGATTGCGTCTGAAGGACCAGGTGGTGGAGCTGTTGTCTTGCCAGAATTATTGGCTAAAGATGCCAACAAAGTCGCTACTAATGTCAAGAAGAGTGCCGCAGCCGCTAATTTGTCCAATATCAAAAATAGTGCTTCTTCTACTACAGCAAAGAAAACTACAGGAGGTGCAGCAAGTAGCCTGTTATCCAAGATGTTGCCTTCACCGTTGTCAGCAGGCTCATCTTCCCTCGGACCAATGGCTTTGGCCCTACAACGTACTGCAAAATCCCGTAATTTGAATGCTGACTTGCCGGACACAGCGGCTGAGGCTAGAGCGATCTCACAGAAAGCCCTAGAGGCGCTGCAGAATGCACAGAGAGGATTGAATCCAGATGGGACTCCGATGATGATGTTCATGAATAGCGAGGAGGATATGAAGCAAGCAAAGGTGGCAGTGCGAACGAACGTGGTGAATCTGGAGGGTCAGCAGATTCGCGCTGAAGCAAAGGCAGCTGGAGAATTAAGGCTGTACCTAATACATCTTTGGACGTAATATCAATCCTTGGAACTACGTATGGAGGAGTATCCCAAGCGAATACTCCCCCATACTTTTCAAGGATGCACTTGAAAGATGAATTACGGACAGCTCTAAGAGAAGGCACTACGATTGCAGGCGTCACGGGTCATGGTTTGGGCAGTATGACCAACGCCCAGGAGGTGCTAGCGAAAGCCGTCGGTGGAAAAGCTGGCAATGTTGCTCCTGCCATGATGAACGTGCCAAACCCGGCGGCCGTCGCCGCTGGCGTCGCGCTGAACATCACCGCGACTGGAGCGACCACAGTGCACAATCCGGCACCGCTGCTTGGCGCTGCGGGAACCGCAACATTACCGGTAGCTGGGCCACCAGGGACGACGGTGCCAGCTAATACTACTTCTAGTACAACGACCACTGATGGAATTTCTGGTGCAGCTGCAGCTGGTACAACTACCACCACCACAGTCGCAGGAGCTGACGCAAAGGCTGGTGCTGCCGTGAAGGCGGATTCGAAAGCGAAGGCTGGAGCCCAAGGCGCACCTCCAGCCGGGCCTTCTCTGACCTCGGCGGAGAAAAAGGAGTGCGAAGCTCAAGCTAAAAAGAACGCAGAGGCGGTAATGAAGGCCATCAAGGGCATTCATCCTGACGAGAAGGAGAAGAAGTATCAAGAGAAATACGAACATGCTTTGAAAATTGCGATCGAGAAGAAGAAGAAACAAAAACTTCGTTCTGCTCCTGCTGGTGCAGCAGGTGCACACGCGGGCCTCCGCGTGCACCGCCGCCTCCGCCAAAACCTGCTGGAGAAAAGCCAGTGTCGAATATACCTCCTGGTCTGGCGACCATTCCCGGTGCGTCGCAGGTCATTCCGCACAACGGCTTCCGCGTTCCCCACGGCGCTGCAGATCTGGTCAAGTTAAGGATCGATGTTTGTGCTTCACTGACAAATAATTCTGATTTTTTCATTTTCATTTATTTAAGAATCAATTATGTTTGTGAGTAGTAGTAGAGTAACAGAGCTTGTTCTTTGTTATGTTAAGGGGGCACACGTCGACGCACTCGCACAGGGATCCTCTTTGATGACCTTGACAACATCCTTTATTTTTCAGCAGGGGTCGTAAACGTAAACGTAAAAAGCAAAAATGTCCAACATCAACATCACTCACATGAGTACTTACTTAGATTTAGAAGCTTCCTGTTTCTTGGTCTCCCTACTAAAGACATGTTGGACTCATCGTCATCTTCTTTCACATACTCTTTTACTTTTTCTCCGTCCTCTAATTTCTGGTGCCGCTTCGAAAGCTACTATGCCTTCTGCCGCTTGGTACCCGATTGGTCCGGTGCCTGTGGAGGGTACGACGAGGATGATCGAAACTTTGAAGGATGGTAACAAGGTGCACTACGACGCCTTCGAAGTCAACGACTATCCGGAATTTGCCCGACGTGAAATGTCTCGAAAGGAACTCCGAGAAACCATCGAGGATTTGACGACTTGCCATATTCAAGTCAAAGTTAAGTGCTGAACAATGCTGAAGTTGAAGTTGTTCTAGTTGTTGTTGATGATGATCTCAGACAACTCCTATCCTATCCTATCTCAGACAGAGTTGCAGTAAAACTAATAGTAGTGGTACTAGAAGGAGTAGGACAATTACTCAAGCTCATGATCAAAATGGTCAGACGTAGAAAGGGAAACAAATGGACTCTTGTTTTAGCTGGAGATAAAAAGGGAACCCGGAGAGGACTTGGGCATTCCCTTCCCCTTTCTCCTTTCCGTGCATCCCCCTCTTCTAACCCTTGCCGATACTTCCAGCCGAACGAACCGAATCCCGGAAACGAGAGGAAATTGTATGTCGAAATGCGCGGTCCGACTTTGGCTGCTGTGGCTGCTGCCAAGAAGCACGTCCGAGACACAATGGAAAACAACGCGATTCGCACTTTGAATTTGGGCTCGTTCCAATCCCAAATGGGAGGCTCTGGCAAGCGATGGGATCCGAGAACTGCTACTTTTATCAGCTAAAGAGGAAGAAGACGAACTTGTTGAGGTTGATCTTCTTGTCCTTGAGGTTGATCTTCTTGTCCTTGAGGATGAGGAGCTACAGCTACTTTTATCTTCAGCTAAAGATTTCTTGGCAAAAACACAACACGAAAGAGCAGGAGCACCATGGTTGTTGTAGAAGACCACATCAACATGTTTGATTGTAGCTGGTGAGAAGCTGATGAAGAAGAAGAAGATACTGGTGCTCATCTCTACTTTTTGCAGAAAACGACCACAGACACGATGAAGATATCTGATAAGGATACTGAAGTCTTCATGATCTGCTTTTATTGGAGTTTCTTCGCCGGGTGTTGTTGTCACTAGTATTAGCTAGACGACCAGTCATTCAGACCACGCCTCGAAGATCATACTGTACCTACAACTATTTCTGCATACTCCTGAAACTTCATCTTTTCCACCTGATAATGATTGATTGAAAATGATATATGATGACCACAGCTGATGTAATACTAACAGCATTTACATCCTCTGTGTATTATAATGTAAATGCTGTTGATATCACACTGATGAAGTAAAAAGGTACTAGTCGACTTTATCAGAAGATTAAGTCAACTGTTCCTATGTATGTGATATGTTTTCATCAACAGAACAAGTAGAGTAGTAGATCTTCTAACTGTGCTGATCATGGTATACCCACGTGCTCGACCCTGCTCATTATACCTCCTTCCCGCCCTCCCCTAGTGTCTTGACTTTCTTCATCAAAAACTAGAGGAATTGAGATGTGAAGCTCTGTGACATCAACAGGAGTAGAGCCCTTCACTTGAAGTCTGTTTCAATTCAAAAAAAGTACACGTTTTCCAGAAAACTGATTTTTTCAGAGCGCCCGTTCGTTAATTCTTGTTCGTGTTGTTGCCACCTGCTCACGACCTGGTGATGCCACACAAATAAATCAGCCTGGCCACTAGAGAGCAGAGGTCCGCCTAAGTAAGGAAGAAGATGAAGAGCCACCTTAGAAAGTACTAACTGGGACACCATGTTGATGATGAAGTAGAACAAATGCTGTTACCTGTAAGGGACCTCTAGGATCTTTGTGTGCAGCAGCTGCTTGGTCATCTTCTTAGCTCAAGGCCAAAGGTCAGAGATCTCGTCTAAGCTAAGAGTTTTAACAAGAGCACGACCTGTGCTTGTGTCTTTCCTTGATCTTACCATTTTTTTATGTTTCCTTCGATCGTTAGAAATTACTTATACGAAATAAAGAGAGAAGAAGCAAGTAGTTGGAAGTCCAAGGCCTCCAAGTGAAAGACGCAGTCAAAAAACAGGAAGAGCTGGGACATCTTCCTGTTTGAGGAACTTCTTTTCAAGAGTCTTAAAAACAAGTGAAAGTCGTGGTAATTCCATTTCCAATCATAATATTAGTAGACTGGCCCTTCTACCACGTTTTTGTGTTTTTTCACCTGTTTTTTCCGTTTTACGTTCTCGGTTACTACTTACATCAATGAATTACTAATACTACTTCCACTACTACTCTGTGACGGCTCAGGTAAGAATATTAAACTTCATACATCCGAATGCGAATGCGAAACTACAGGTAAATAATACTAGTGGTCTCTCCTCTCATTGCCTCAATTTCACATCGCTCTGGTGCCTATAACCATTCTGGCACTCATCTCACGCTTAATAACTCGTTATAATTAGACTCAGTCACGACACTAACCTTACATTCATTACTTTCAAAAGGTCTCCAACCATGGGCATCATCTGCTGCGTTGTGATTGTAGGCCTCACGGTGCTGGGCCTTGGTGCGATTGCTGGCATCACAGTGGGAATTGTGATGGCATGTCGTACCACGACTGCCTCTTCCTCCTCGTCCGCTCTACAACACGTAAGAAGAGGTGAACGCACGACCGCCGCTTCCAGTGCGGATGATGTTGATCATGTTGGACGTAATAATATTCCGATGCTCTTTCGTGGTGCCGGCGCCACAAGACCGTCGAGTACAATCATGCCGACTATAATTATGAGCGGCACGACCTCTATGGGGCAAGTGTTGCCGATGATGCAGGAACAAGGCGCTGTTGACGGAGCTGACTTACGCAGTCAACTGATGACAATTTTTGAAGAAGTGGAGAATCAGCCTCTCAACCTTCGCATTGCTTCACTCCTGTCTGACACTTCTGCTGGAGGACGCCGAACAAGGTACCCGGTTCCGGACACGATGGTAAAATCATGGGTGAAGAGAGTATGTTGACAGGAAAAAGTGTACTCATTATACTCAAGACGAAAAGAGGCCGCTGCAGTTTCCTACTTAGGAAGTACCTATTTTCTTGAGGATCGATGAGTAGTACACTTGTTTTTCCTTTCATAGAAAGTGTCTACGGTTTCTCTTGACGTTCTTAACCAAGCAGTGCGAGAAGATGGTGGGAACCTCGATTTTGTCGCAATCATCCGTAAAAATTGCGTCGTGATGCGTGATCTGCTTATTGATGTTGAAAACCTTCTAAAGCAGGGCTACTCCGACGTAGCACTACAGAAGGCGGGACAAGACTTTCTCACTCAATTTTTCCAAGAATTGCAAAGAGAAGGCTACTCTCTCTCTCGCGTGGGCAACATTCCCGCTGTTCTTCATAGGGGTCGGCCCATCCGTTTCCGAGTTGGAGGATTGACAGCGGAGTCTGTGAAACAACTTCGAACGGACATTCGCGCGGCGCTTCAATGAGCGGAACTATTTCCTAGTCTACCATGGATATTTTCCGACCATATGGATATGACGTAGTCCTAAAAAAAGCAAATTTCGAGGTATGTATTGATGTACAACTACTTCTAGGAGAACACTACTACAATTATAAGGGTACTAGGTTTTTGGCGTTTCTGTTACCGTTTGTTTTGACTCGTCTAAGGGAAAAGAGCATAACAAACGGGTGACGGTGACAAAAACACTATCAAGGCCCTACCTTGAATACAACAGGATAACAATACAGGAGAACATCACGACTGACTACAGAGGAGAAATGACTCCGAAGAGAGAGTACTAACCCTGGTTAGAGGTGGTATTTGTTGAACAGGCGGACCGAGAAGCTTTTGAAGTTGTTGTTGATCTTGTAGTGCAACGCACTAATTAAGTTATATGTCGCTCAGCGTCAAAAGATACCTCCAGAACAGGCAAATGAATGAATGAATGAATAACGGGGGTAGTTGCACCACAGAAGTCTTTGGCTACTATCAGAAGTGACAAGGCTACTGAGCACAAGCCTGTTGTTTGCGGCACAGATCTGATTTAGGAACAAGGGGAACAATTGATCATATTAAGACTATTAAAAGATTAATGTAAGTAGTAGGCCTTTGCCTTTCATCTCCACCTAAATTGATTTTTCATAGTTTTCTTTTTCGTGGTTTTTAATGTCCTCTACCTAGCTCGAAGTAATTTTTAAATGTTCTTTCTCTTTGCACGCGTCTAGACAGTATTAGGACACAAAAAGCGCTTGTTTGTCTACAACGTCGGCTGCCGTCGTGGTGCTCAAATAGAAGGTAATCGTCTGCGTAATTTTTAGCGTCTGGCCGTTGTGCGTCCTCAGGCTTCTCGACGTAGGGGCGAAAAAAGCGAGAATGTACTAGTACTAGGCAACAAAAAAACCTTCTGAAAAAAGGACATGGATGAATTTCGTTGAAAGAGAATATATATTAAATTAATATTGTAGAATTGATAATCCGTCTCCACCACAGGACTTTGGACGTGGAGCACTTATTAGTAGAAGTAGATCTTCGCGTGTAGTTTTTGTATTTAATCTACTAGCAGGATGGCGATATTTATTATATAAAAGTACCTTGACTGATTGTTTTGTAGAAGATCGTTGGAGATCATTGAGTTGTACTATCTGGAACAAGACGAGGATCTTCTATCGTGTGAAATAGTACTAGAAAAACGCAGAAATTGTTCTAAGACGCGGATCTGTTATAATGCTTTTTCAATGAACAACGAGCATCGATCAGCATGCTTTTGCAGGTGTAATGTGCACGCTTGCCGGGAGGATTAATGACATTGTGAGCATAAGTATACAGCGGCTGTCTAGCATTGGTGTATGCCTACGTTGCAAAGCTGTGCTAAAGACGTACACGAGATCTTCGAAAAAGAGCGCTACATAAGACGCGCCTTCACGCACCAATGGAAAGAATATTGGAACGATCCATACTCCTGCAGGACGATGTTGGCGCTTTTCGTCTGTCAGCAACTTGCGTCTCCTGAAGATCACTGAATAAAACGATCCACCCCGCCACTGAAAATAGACCAAAGTACAAGTATGGCAATTATACAAGAATACAGCCCTCCCTCATATCGCTCCCGAGCGTAGAGGTGCGGCAGTCGCAGCTGCGGGGAGGTCGGTTCCCTGTGGCGGCAACATGATGGATTGATTGACTAGTGGGCTAGGTCAGCGGGAACGCAGTCGTGCTCGCACAGTCCAGAGTTGGCCCTGGGTCTGTTTGTTCCTCCGTTATCCAGCACCGCCGCTCGTTAGACGGTCGCATATTGTTGATTGATTGACTGATTGACTGGTCTAGCGGAAGTTCTCTAAAGACGTTCTCAGGTCCAAGATCTACCCAAGACATGGATCTTTTTGACCCCATGCTCCTGGGTGTATCATCATCCTCGATCAGGAGATCCGCTATTAGAATTTCCACGATCATGGAAGTCGAACTCGAGCTCCTCTTCACCAAAAGGAGGGAAGGATCTAGATGCGCGATCTATAGAGAGGAAGATCAACCAAAGGAAGGAAGGATCTAGCTGCGAAATCTTTTATAAAGAGGATGTAGATCATGAACAACAACAACAAAGAAAAGGAGGATTTTTCTATAATGAGGACCCAGAAGTAAGTAAGAAGATCATCATATTTGCTTACGAAGGATCTAGAAGTAAGGAGGTGCTCTAGGATCATGCGAAGGATCAGCTTCTAGATGTGTGCTCCTGCGATCTAGAGAGAGGACCGAGAAGGAGGAGCTAAAAGAGAAAAGAGATCTTCCTTAAAGGGGCAGGGAGATCATGCAGATCTAGAGCGAGACTGTATATCTATATTTTGTATAGGCTTTCCCCATATTTTGAGGGGGGCTTAGGCTAGTGGTCAAGGCCGATAGAAAGAATTTTTTCGCACGAATGTGATTGCAACATGCATACCTTTTCTAAGGTAAAAGCCAAAATATATCAAACCATGCTGGAGTGAGTGTTCAAAAATACTCTGCTTCTATTATAAGACGAACTGTTAAGCTTATTGGATTTTAATGCAAGCCGAAGTCGCCTGTGCATAGTGATAGTAAATGACTCAGGAAACTACGAAAATTGCACATCACCAGATGCATTATCGATTGCTTCCACTTCCAAGACCAAGAAATATTTTAGCGATTGGATAAGTTTTCCTTTTCACTACTGATATTTCTTGCTTTGAGCATCAAAATCAAAAAAAATTGTCATGCTCATTGGCTTCTTGTTGTTTACACCCGAAAGAACATTCGACTTTTTCTACTGTTTTCGCCGCCTCCACGTCTTCAGTAGAATTATTCATCACGGTGGTTTTCCTTTTAGTTTTACACTTACTGTTTCGGCCCATATCTTCTCTCTCAAGAATTGTATCCCCACAGACATCTTTTGATTTGAGAACAACTACCATGCTCCTGGTTGGTGCCGTCCGCTAGTACAAGAACGCTGGTTGTTAATTTTATTACTTCAAGAAAGAGGAACAAGGTCAAGGAGGTGATATTGATTGAGATCATAAGAGGACTTGAGAATTACAGAGACTCGTCGAAGTCGAGCCACCGAATTCTTGAACTTGCGTTTCTTGATCAGATAATTTCCAAAATGAAAAGTTCTACTTCGCTGCAGTTTTATTTCGCAATTTGTTGCTTCCTTGTGACGACCACGGCTGCGATTCAACTCAAGGCAGGCGTTGGAAATGTCGGAGAGCGTCTAATAAATGCAGAACAGGAAGAAACACGTGTGACCACGGCGGCGGGCCGAAATCCTGGCGAAAAGGGGAGGTCGTCGTCAGAACTAGGGAGAAGTCCTTTACTACAACACGGAAATGAAGGCAGTCCCAGTCGAAACGCCGGAGATGATCCTCAAACGGTCCACCCCGAGGAACAACCTCCACAGACGTCGGCTTGTGAGTCCGTTTTTGCGCAGCCTGGGCTTATGAGGATTGCGCAAGATCATTTGTGGGGTGCACGGCCTGGTCATTCAAAAATGCTGTCCGATGAAAATTCACCATTCGCAAAACTCCTGTTCATGGTGGAAAGAGACGGGGTTGCGCCGTTCCACCTGTCTTCGAAATCGTATGCAACTCAGCAGGCGAACAGCATTGCATCCTCTTCCTCGGGAGAACAAGTACCAGCTACTTCATCCTCGGGTACACTGGGTGCCTTTCTGGACACGGTTCTGTCTTCCACCGCAAGGGATGATGAGTGGGAGAAAGTACCAACGACGACGAAAACTGCTGCTATTGATTTGCTTACGCAGGTCATGTCGAGTACGCCAACCGCTGTGGTTGATCAGCTTCTTGTTTTTGTCCGCCAAGAGAACAGCGACGAGCTCTTTCGTCGAATGGGTACGATGACGAAGACGGGGCTGCAAGAAATGCGCGAAATCGGAAAACACAAGCCCCCGTCTCAGTGGCGTGTCTTGCGTGCAACGATAGCTAATCCGGTGGACCGGACAGATCGACCTGTCGGGTTGTTCAACCAAGAAAAAGAAAACCCTCTCCAAGAGACGTTATGCAGAGTCAGAGAGTACCTTCAACGTCACCATGACGGAAGGCCTGCTGTTTTTGACGCTAGCCAGCGCCGCCAGCTCCGCGAGGAGCGCCGTTTACTTGCGAAAGTCAGGCAAGGAGCCCCCGAAGAAGGAGGATCGCCTGCTTCCATCAGTCTGCATTTTGGGAGTTTTCTCTTTGATTCTAACTCTTTGACACTGTCTTTGTACTTCCGATTCGACGTTCTGCCTCCAGAGGAAGCGACGGAAGAAACGAACGCTGGCGCTGCAGGAAAGGGACTGCGTCTCCGCCGGATCTATGTTATTTGGGGTCATCCTGATCGCTCGCGAGATGTGATTGAACTGACAAAGGAAAACTAGGCCGCTAGTTGTACACTGAGAAGATGAAGATGAACCACTACTAGAAGTGTAGTACTATAGACGAACGAAGATGACGAGGCATGATGAAGGGTTGAAGATCATGAAGAAGTTGAAGCTCTTGATCTTGTTGTGTTTATATTTATTCTTGAGGAAAAGCAAAAAAGTAAGATACTTTTTTATTGAGATGGATGCTTCAGCATTGTATTACCTGAACAAGTCAAGCAAAAACAGAAGAAAATAGAGAATAATGAGGAGAAGAAAATGCAAGAACAATAGTTAGCCAATGAGCTGACAGCGCCCGTAAATAGTTGCTGGGTATATCATCATCATCAAGCATGTTGCTAGTATTGAGGACGCAGTCGTGTTAGCTGTAACTGATGAAGCTGCTACTTCTTCAAGCAGTAGTTGGGCATGCTCTTATTCTTGCGGAGGACGACGATGAAGAGCATTTTTCTCCCGTCTTCTACTTTCAGTTGCATGACGGGAGGCAGAGCAGTGCCAAAAAGTGTTGTCATCTTCTTTTTTACATTGCCTGCAGTGCCGTCTCCTCGGTTGTCTAAAGGCCGACTGGAAAGTCGTTAAATGCATACGATAAAGATAAGCCTTGAGTTTATTTTGCTCCAAGTGCCGTATCTTCGGCCATCTGGGAGCCGACTGGATAAGTCGTTAAATGCATACGCTATAAGTTCCGTTTTCTTATATTGCCTGCAGTGCTGTCGCTTCGATTGTCTGGAGGCCGACTGGATAACTCGCTAAATGCATATATCTAGCAACGTAGTTTTTTAGGGGATCCGCATGAAATGACGCCTATAGGTGTCCTTATATATGTGGTCCTGTATAGCGCCGCGCTTACTTTTACACAGATCCTAAATGTCTCGTAATATAAGGGTCATCCTCGTGCCTTACTAGTACAGAAATGACCGCGGTCATTTATTCATGATGGGCGTCAGTCTTGGAATAAAAGTAACGATCGAAATAATACCAAACTTTTTCCGGTCGTCTTTTTTCGATTAGCAACGATCTCGACTTCTGACGGCAAAGCTCCTGATCACGTGCTCGACTGCTAAGAATATGATTGTCAAAAGTTGTGTCTTGCAAAATGCTACGCTCTGGTATTATGTGGCGGTGAGATCAAAATAGGTCAGTTTGATTGTTATGGCAATGGTATGGCTCTAGAGTAGATCCAGCCCTTTGTGGATTTCTGCCGCAAAAGGTGTGTCATTTCGCTGTCCCTGCTGTGGTATATGAGTAGAAAGCTTTTAATATTCTTGACATTCTACGCCACGTTAGTCTTACTCTCGTCCCAAGTCACTTATCCTCGTTTTATACTAAAAGGGTTGAAGGAAAGACCTACCTACATGATGCTGGTCATTCATCCGCATCCCCTCACCCAAAAACAGGAATTATAAGTGTGCTAGCTCTGCAGGCAGGAAAAGTAGTTGACACGCTGGAAGCATTGGGCGGAACTTCAGTGCATACTTTGGAAAGCTGTTCTTATCGTCTTTTAAGTGAGGAGCTGAGCGAAGAGAAGCAAAACGAAAGAGTAGAAGTCCGATAACAAAACACAAAATTGGAACCAGATTGAGGCGTAATTCTGTCTAAGATTCTGACTGTCGTCTAATTTTGTATTTGCAAAAGTAGCACATCTCCGACGCATGATAGTGACACCATTGCACACACGCTAGTGACAGTCTTGCATCTCTCTGCTGAAGCAGAAATCCTTTAACCACGCAGGTCTTTGCTATGACGCTTACCCATGATAATCGGTAATGCTTGCACTCATGCGATTGCTATTGTTGTTGTTGTCGCTGTTCGCATGTTCATGCTCTTCGTCTTGGTATGACTATGTACCTACTAGCTATGAGCGTCCGATAACATCCCCCCCACTAGGATTCCCATCCTCCCCAAAATAAGAAACTAAGCACGGCAAAGATGTGAGCGATATGTGTTTTCCAAATTTCGAAAATTTTCCACGTTTTGCCTTCGTTTGGGGATTGAATCTCGTGCGTTTGAAGTGCTAAGATCCCAAGGCGTTTGACTTTAAGCCCTTTCCCTGCAGTTCATTCAATGCCTTGGCTTCGTGTTTTTCAAATTTCGAAAATTTTCCACGTTTTTTGGTCGTTTGGGGATTGAATCTCGTGCGCTTGAAGTGCTAAGACCCTAAAGTTTTTGACTTTAAGCCCTTTCCCTGAAATTTAATCCCTTGGATTCACGTTTTTCAAATTTCGAAAATTAATGTTCCACGTTTTCTCGTCGTTTTGAGATTGAATCTCGTGCGTTTGAAGCGTTAAGACCCCAAAGCTTTTGAGTTTAAGCCCTTTCCCTGAGATTCAATTTCTTGGCTTCGCGTTTTTCAAATTTCGAAAATTTTCCGCGTTTTGTCGTCGTTTTGAGATTGGATCAGTTTGAAGGGCTAAGATCCAAAAACTTTTGACTTTAAGCCCTTTCCCTGGAATTCAATTCCGTGGCTTCGCGGTTTCATGGTTTCGCGGTTTC